GGGGGGGGGGGGTAGTTCTTGTTTGGACTAATTTATTAAATTAACCGAACGGAGTATTGTTTTAGCTTTTACATTGTTTTGAACCAATATTTATTTATTTATGAACATTTTGTTCAATCTGAACAGGGATATGTGAGTTAAACTCACATATCCCTGATCTGAAGTAGATCTACATTTTGTAAAAAAAACAAAAACACATGCATTGCTATGATTACATTGAGGAGACAGTGAAGAAAGTAAAATAGGAGGCTTCTTTTACGGGGAGCTGAGCAATCAAGGTAGGTGCTTTAGTGTGTTTGATAAGGTCACTTATCTTTTAATCGAGAAGAAGTTTTCGCGAATATCGAACAAGCAAGAGCCGAACCCAGGGTTTGGAAAATGCATATTCATAAGAAGAATGGTAGTGTTTCTTACGCAGGCGTTCATTCGTCTGTTGACCTAATTTGCATAATTGATATGCTTCGTACGGCCAATTAGAGAAGTCGGTAGTGGAACTCTGGATGAATCCATGACAACCTAAACAGCTTACGAGAAAAATGGCGACAAATATCTTGTTTTGACGAGAAGAATTGCTTCAAACTGTATAATATGGATAGAAATTGAAGTTATAATTTGTAGAATTTGATACTGTTGCTTCCAATTCCTTGCATGCCATGGTATGTATGGCGAATAATTGTTTATGTGAATGATGGTTTGCCGAGGCATTGATGTCGACTGTTTTTTCGGGTCAGAGAAAAATCTGGAATTGGTCCCACTCGTTCTGTTTGGTGTACTGCTTTTGCGTCTGAAATCACGATGTCGGTGATGGATTGTCATTCATTATGATTTCACTATTCCGCGCGTGGGGTGACCAAAGTTAGCGGAGATTTTAACAATCGTTAGAAATGTGATATTCGATCTATGATTTCTCATGTTTACACAAATCTAGACTCTATTTAGCTAGAGGATCTAGATTAGACTTAACTCCGGGAAGCTCCGAGTCCGACGCCAATGACGAAGCCGGGCGCGGGTCGAAGCTTCCGGTGGTGCATCGAAAAACATTCTAACAGCAGGTTGGAAACCATTATCTCAAAATATGCAAAGGGGGTAATTACAATTTTGACTTAGATCTACTAGGTTGCTCGACTCCTCTGGGCATCTATCCATCAACTTGAAATTATAATTTGAAGAAGTCTTCGATGGGAAAAGGGGGTGATTCTTCGTCCTACCCTGACGATTCTTCCATGTTGTTTCGTCCATTCAACCAGCAAAGAGAAAGTATGCACTACCGCGCATGCGTACTTAGAATGTGATCGGCCGCACACCCGAGCCACTACTCTAAGTCTTGCGATTACAGTAATTGCAAATTTGCAATTGATCGCAATTAAATTGCAACGCCCCAATCCATTACATTAGTAAGAGAGAGAGAGAGGGAGAGAGAGAGAGAAAGGGGGAGAGTAAAAGCTAGATCTAGTTAACTTAGATCTAATTTAGTTGTTAAAACTTAAAAAAAAAAAAATCCTATCAAAATCCTAGGAAATTTAGGAGACTAAATCATAGATGATTGATCTAGATCTAGTGCCAGTAGTGGGGTATTGCAAGAAAGTTGAGTTTGCAATCGATTGCAAATAAGATTATCAGTTGCAAATTTTGCAACTTGCAATAATAATAATATTTGCTTATACTAGACTATAGCGCCTAACACTTACTTTATCACAAGTACTATAATTAGAGTAAAGGAGGCAGTTTTCGGCCACTAAACGGCAAAATTTTTTTTTTTACTCTTTATTTTCCGCTTATTATCATTATTTGTTCAAATCATGAAGCCAATACTATTATTATTTAAACGTGAGAAGAATCCCCGAAAAAAATCATGATTGCCATAGCAATATTTTACCTCCGAAAAAGTGAACATGAAAATGAATATTGCCATGGCAATTCATTTCCTTGTTCACTTTTTCGGAGGCAGTTTTCGACCGCATGTACAAAGTCAATGGGGAGCGCGCGCCATGTGTTCGCCCGCTGATCTATAGCATGTGAGGCCAGAGCACGTAATCCCCCGCACGGCCGAAAACTACACCTGCGAGTGCGGTGATCAGAAATTGGAATCTAAACTCCAAAGAGATACGGCGCTATAGTATCCGACTGCAGTAATAGGATACGTGCAGTGAGATTAACCCTGTAAGTTGGGGCTCTGATCGGATCGGAAGATCGACAAAAAAAATTGACTGATTTTTAAAATTTTTTTTTTTTTTTAATGACGAAAATTTTCAAGTTTTTGGCTATCAAATGCTCAAACAAAATTCATGGCTGGGATTTTTTTGTCATCTGGAGTTGTTGTAGACCATGTTTGTTGATATTTAGTGCCTTTTCATGACTTTGAAATTAATAATATTGGTCTAAGAGCAGAGGCAAAACATGCGGGCTGCCATCTTAGATTATAATGTAGATCCAGGTATTTTTTAAATTTTTTTTTATGACGAAAATTTTCAAGTTTTTGGCTATCAAATACTCAAACAAAATTCATGGCTGGGATTTTTTTTCATCTGGAGTTGTTGTAGACCATGTTTGTTGATATTTAGTGCCTTTTCATGACTTTGAAATTAATAATATTGGTCTAAGAGCAGAGGCAAAACATGCGGGCTGCCATCTTAGATTATAATGTAGATCTAGGTATTTTTTTTTTTTTTTTTTATGACGAAAATTTTCAAGTTTTTGGCTATCAAATGCTCAAACAAAATTCATGGCTGGGATTATTTTGTCATTTGGAGTTGTTGTAGACCATGTTTGTTGATATTTAGTGCCTTTTCATGACTTTGAAATTAATAATATTGGTCTAAGAGCAGAGGCAAAACATGCGGGCCGCCATCTTAGATTATAATCTGCCGATTTTTTTCTGATCATTTTAATTGATCGGCGATCGGAAATTATTATCTGATCACCCCTGATCGGATCGGTATCGGCGTCCGATCCGATGATCGTTTACAGGGTTAGGTGAGATACTTTTGAGTTTGCGGTACTCAAAAAATCTGGCTTTAAATCTGAAAATACTTGAAATACAGCTCATTTTATGGTACCCATATTCCTGACAGACACGCGTAAGATATTCAATTTTTCAGATTCGGGTAGCGGGACCACCGATTACATCGCTAAAATGTGATATTTAAGGATACATTTTCCTTTGCAAATGTGGTTGTCCAGTGACTCAGGCATGTTAGTTTATGTATGTGATATGCTATTATGCAACCGCCACCAGCCGAAAACTGCCTCCTTTACTCTACCCTGGCTTTTGCAGAGCAGAGCCCACGCGCTCTGCGTTTCAAGGAATTCCTACCAGGTCCCCATTTACTTCACCTGGGTGGAGTGCAGCACAATGTGGATGAATTTCTTGCTGAAGGAAATTAACGTCCTGGAGTGGGATTCGAACTCACGACCTTATGATTGAAAGACGAGTGTCTGAACCACTACACCATGATGCTTCCGCAATCGATCGCAACTTTCTTGTAATGCCCCATAGGTCTAGTTCAATATAATTACAAAATGGACAACAAAATTTTAGACTACTTTAGTGCCACTACAAAAGGCACTAGAAAATTTATCAGCACAGAATTCCAGAGATATTAGCTGTAACTTAAGCCTTAAAGGGAGTGTAGCTTGGCAAATACTGGTTAACGCCATCTACATCTTCTTTTGGACAATTGCACGTAAATGAATGGACTTGATTAACGGTAGTCAGTGACTTAATCTCTACATGGTCAGCGTGAGCTAGCGTTCACGAAACAGACCAAAGTTCTCCTCACGCTTCGATATTGCGTATGTTGCACGCACGTGATTGCTGCGGTCGCGTTGCACATAGTCATATTATACCCGATTGGCCCCGAGTCAGGTAAAGGTTTTGTTATTGAATTAAAAAAGTCTTTCCAATTAAAGCTTGGTGCATGCTACATGTACAACTCCGCCCGGGTACGTCACATTTTCAAGAAAATGGCTGCGCCCATGTCATGCTAAAAGGCATTACATGTACATCATGCCAAGAAATCTTCATTTACCGGTATATATCTCTTGTACATTTTTGTAAGATCTATTAATTTTTTTCATCTCTTTTTTTCAGAATACCTACACTTATTCTTTCGGGTTAGTTTTCCTTAAACAAAAAATATGAGATTTTGATACCGGAGTGATACCAAATTGATAATGAGTTACCTTGCGATTTACATTACAAAGACACTGACCTCTTACGAGAGATGATGTTGCATGGACCCGCCTGAAATGCAGGTACCTGTACATGCTGTGTACATGAACAAAAACCCTGTTTTCTGGTTGCCAATTTGATACTTTACGATAATGGCGCTGGGGTAAATTCACCGAACTCTGTGTGTGCAACTAAGAATACTTAACTAATCAGTAATGTGCCCTTGATTTTACCCTTTATGAAAATTATATGCCACCTTGCGTATGAATTTTGTGCTGATTATTCTACAAACAATTGGTTTGTTCAAAACTATATGTGGTTGTTTCAGATAGTGCTTATTGTTTTTTGTTTTTTACACTTCTTTTTTTACTGAGGTTGGTTAAGTTGATATTACAGCAGTATAAATTTGATTTGGATGATAATTGAAAATGAAAGAAAAATATATCAAATTGCCTCAATTCAACTGCATTTGTTCATGATACAGCAGACAATGTTAGTGTTAACATGCCTGCAAATTAAGAGGCCCCATGTTATGATCTTTTACTTTCTGAAATGCATTTGATGGAACATTACATCATCTCATTTATAAAAGGAATAAATAAAATTCTAATAGTTCATAAACACACTTCATCTCATATTGGTTTCCCGAATTTCAACTCTTACCTTGAATGACCATGAGAAAGATATTCTGAAATTTCCATAGTAATCCAAGCTCAATGAAATTATGTAAAATATTAAATTTTATATGCAGACATGTCATTTAGCCACCTGAATTACCGGTACTATAAATTTTATTCTATTCTTCAAATCCCAAAGCTCCCCTAATATTTTTAAAAATTTGCATACAACCTTATCTCCTGTGCAGAATTCTTGAATGTGCTTAGACACATACCGGTACCATGCCTACTGGATTGGAGAAGCAGACCGCCCAGCGGGCGACAGACTGCGGGGAAACACCTGCCTATGACAGCAAAGTGACAGCTCCCAGGAATCCAAAACTTATACGAGGGCCTAAAGAAGAAATAAAGGTATGCTAATAATGTCATCCATGATTGAGGAAAATCGTAACATAAACAAGAACTATTTTTTTTACCATGAAATATTATATATAACACCTACATGTATGGACCTTATCAAATTATACAAATGTTTGAGGGCTTTACTCTTCATTCACTAATTTTCATAATTTTAACATTTGGAAAATATTCTGATGATCATTCTGTAAATTAAATTAGGACATTTTTTTGTTTAATCTTTTGAATAGGTTACAGCCTGTATATTGATAAAATGTTGATTTATCAGTAACTGGATAATGTTCTATTTTTAATTTTGTCAAATGCTAAAGTGTCAATTATGGTAAATAAAATATTCTTCTATGTAGACATACAATTTTGTTAGCCCTTTTTAATTTTTTTAATTTAAAATACAAAGTTAACTACTTTGATAACCTTTCTCAATACAATATTCTTGTCTTGTTACAGATGACCCCTTCTTCATTTATGAAAGAAATATCGCAAACAACAGAGGAAAAGCTGGCAAACACACACTTGATGCACATACCCAAAATCATTGAGCTTATGGATATGGGTGATAATACTCACCAAAAGGTAAGCATAACATAATTTTCACAAATGTACCAACCCTCTTGCATACAAAAGTTGTTGTTAATGTAACTCCAGTCCCAAATATGTATGATTGTTTATTTGCATTTAAATTAAAAAAGGGCCCTGCTAATAAATGTAACTAAAAAGGCAATGATATAGCAAACATAATTAAGTTAAAAAACGAACTCAGAAAAAAAATATGTTGTTGCATATATACAGTATTTTTTTAAATATTAGAAGAAAAAAAAAATTATTGTGTCAGTATGAAGATTTATGATTAATCTTGAGAAATGATAGGTCTTGATCCCCCCCCCCCCAGCATTTATCTATTGTTATTGTGATCCATCATTCCAATAGATGAGTATATAACAAAAATTATAATCTATATTAAGTCTGTGTAATGAAATATACTTCATGTGTATACCCTCCTTTTAATTACATTCTTTTATTAGGGATTGTTTGTTAGCTTGATATACCAGTATGACCCCATACTGGTACAGCACTGGTACAGCTGCCCATCCAGTCCCGTATCCAGTTTAAAGTACTTTTTATAACTTATCAATGTTTCCATCAGTTTGCTCCATCATATATCATTTAATTGTCAATACAGTATATACCAGAAAAAACACTGCGTTCCAGTAAAAAAAAAAATCTTGTTATATGTCCCACAAACTACAACAAAATATTACTGGGAAGGGTCATTTTTATATGCAGCCACTATTTTATGGAATAAATTTCCAGAAACCCTCGAAATAATAGACACAAACTAAAAGTTCAGAAGTAGTTTGAAAACATACTTATTCCGCATTTTTGTAAAAATGTAAAAATCTCACAATTATGAACTCTGTTCTGTAACGGGCATAGGGACATGAAATTATGCCTATGTGTTATGCGCTATACAAAAAAGTTTATTATTATTATGATTATTATGATTATTATGATTCATGTATTTTTACCTACTTGTGTACAGTTCTCCAATGTTGATATAGATGAGCCTCTGTTCCAGCCATTCCCATCAGAGGTCACATTCCAGCAGTTTGAGCCTCACATCATCTATGAAGTCCCTCTTCTACTCAGAAATAATGACAAGGTATTACAAAAAAACTATAAAAAAAATACATTCTTTAAACGGTGAGAGTCAACAAAAGAGAGAAAAAGTGATCTATGGTGTAGTGTTTGGATGCAGTGATATTTCATGACTGCCAAAAATTCCAAAATGTCACTACATATTGGTTTTTCTTGTTAGGTACATTTACATTTGAAATGGTAAGGACTTGAAAAGTGATATGTTTGAAACATAATCTGTTAAATTTGAATCTACAGAGTTGAAGACAGACTGGTAACATTATAATTTTCTGTATAATTTTATTCCTGTATGTGATTGAAAATTGCAACTCACAATTATAAACCTTCATGTTTTTGTTCCTGTATTTATTTTCAAGTTACAACTCACTACTAAAATGTAACATTAAAAACAAAAAAATTATTAAAGAGTTGCTATAAAAATATTAAAGATTAAGTTGAGTTCTGGTCATGCGATTGCATTGTGAAAGAAACGGTGTGGAACCGACCAGAAAAGGTTTATCATCTAGCATATAAGAATTTGTGTGTATTGCAAGGTTCTGGAATCATCAAAATGATAAGAAATTTGGCCAAGTCTTGGTAAAGTTACAAACACTTGCACAGAAAGATGTATATGGGACTACACGAACACGTGGCGTAAAAAGCCGCCCCCCCTCCCGATTTTTACGATGTTACATGCATATTTAGAATATGAAGGCATTTAAAGAACCATGCTTTTCAGGGAACATGTCTTAACTGATGTTCTTCCACACTTGCATAATAAGAATGAGTAATGCTCACAAATTATTTTTCACCTCTTCCCACAACTCAACCTTCTCTTTAAGTCTCTCCCTTATATTTCCCTCCTTGAAATAGAGTAACACAAAAATCATAATTCTCATCTTTAAATATTTGCAGGTTTCCAGACTGGTCAAGGTATACCAAGCAGACTCACCGTACTTCAAGATCATCAGTCCTCCAGATGTGACTACCAAGGTGGCTCCTGGTATGGCTACCATCTTCAGGATACAGTTCACACCATCAGAGAAAAGGGTAGGTCAATGAACATGATGTTAACCCATTCTGTGTTATGGGCAGCATATCCAGCACTACAAAAATGTACAATGCACTGTATGTTGGTCTAAGAATAGATTGTCATGGTCTTTTATTCCTGGACCAGAAATAGATAATTTATCATTCATATTTACAGAAAGTTTCATGTGATCATTTTAAAATGACCTCCTCCCCCCAAAAAAATAAATGAATGAAATGCAAGTATTTTAATCATTGCTTCCAAATTAAGTATAGGATGGTTAAAAATGTCAAAATGATGAAGTTAATTATGTTGTATTTCAAAGACTTGTTGATTGTAGGTAAGTGTCTGTCTATAATACAAAAATTACAAAGATAGACATTAACAAGGAAAAGAGAGGGAAAATTCAATTTCTCTGACAGTTTGGATATCATTCTCTTTTTAAAGCTAAATAAAAATAATATATTCTGCTCATACACACATGTTCCTTACTGCCTTTGTTCTTCTTGGAGAAAAAAAAAAATCAAGCACTTATGCAATTCTGCATTGTTCTGTGACTTATCAATAGGACTACATCCACGAGCTAATCTGCATGACGGAGAGGGAGAAGTTTGTAGTCCCGGTGAAGGCCATCGGAGCCAGGGCCATGCTGGACTTCCCAGATGAGGTCAACTTTTCAATGTGCCCGGTCAAGTACCCTAGTACCAAGACCTTACTGGTCAGGAACATCGGCAACAAGGAAGCTCACTTTGCTCTCTATACTTCAGGGTAAGTGATCTAGAGCTAGAAAGCACGGAACACCAAATTTATACAGATGCAGGATATGTGCCATTTTCCTTTTGTTTATTCATTTGTTTGTTTTTGGAATGAATGATAACATGTCTGGCAATAGCTGGTATGAATGACTGAAGAGATGGAGAATCAAATGTACCATGATTGCTATTGCTTACATTTATCTCAAAGCATTTTCAAGAGAAAGTTTTACTCTCTAATGGCTACAAAACCGTGAATGTCCAGGACAATAGAAGCTCTGGATTACGCATATTATGAAAAACTTATTCATTCAATTTATTAAAAAAAAATGGATTGGACAGTGCATAGATATTTTCTTATAAGTTATGTAAAAGGTCTGCGACAAATTTGTTAAAAGCTATATTCATTGCAGATGTATATGTTCAATACAGATGTAAAAGTTTTCCATTAAAAGTAGTAAGTTAATGGTCATTACTTGATTATAGCTGTCAGAGATCTTACTGATTTGTTAATTTTGTAAAATGAATGCAGGAAGAGTACTTTGTCAATGTTGATACATTATTTCTCTTACACATTTCTCGCTGTAGACCATTCTCAGTCTCCCCAGAAAATGGGTCCCTGGCAATTAACGACAGCCTCCAAGTGGAACTGACCTTTCAACCTATGACCGTCGGAGATCACAACGATAACCTGGTCATCAACTTTGACTCAGGTATTCTAACGTGATGTCATTCCTCATTGAATTTACCAAAGGGTATCTTGTAAATAGCAAACTATTGATTTGATTTTATACTCATTCTTTCATGATGAACAGGTTTTTATTTTATTTTTTTAATAATTTGTTATTAATTTATATTTTGTGAACAGAATTTAACAAAAATGTAAAGAATTTTTATACATTAGCCATGACAATGAAATTCTCAGTAGTTCAGCATTTACAGTGGGATAGTTTCAGAATTAGTTGTACTAAAAATCAGATGTAGTTTGGATGTCAACAAATAACTGATCAGTCCTCTCATTGATTAAGTCATTCATATATGAACTGATACCTGTCTAAAGCACTAGAATGGTAAACTGATTTAAGTACAAATGTATCAATTTGGACTGCTTGTCCAGATTTCTTAAGCTTAAGTTTAAAGAATGTCAGTGTGTCTATCTAAACAATTGGAGCATTTGAAACATCCCAGACTCAATCAATTTCTTTTCCATCTATCCTACCAGGTGAAGACGTTGGTGTGAATCTCTACGGAGGTGCTTACGACGCCAACGTGCGACTTGACAAGAATTCACTGAGGATCGAGAACACCTACATCTCCATGGCCAATCAGAGGACAGTAATTGTTGCCAATCGCAGTGATGTCATCGTACACTACAAGTGGAAACAGTGTGCTACGGCAGAGGAGGAGGAGCAACAAAAACAAGGGTGAGGAATCTCAATTAGTTTCCTGGGCCCCGTCTCACAAAGAGTTGCGATCGATCCAAATCAATCGCAAGTCCTCCAATCAATCGCAAGTTTGCAGTCTATTATCTCTTATTTACATAGTTGTGATTGATATCAATCCCAAATAAGCTGCGATTAATATCAGCTCTTTGTAAGTCGCGTGCCCTGATGTATTTAATTTCCTAATTTTCAGTAATTTTCTAATAAATCTTTAAATGTCATCAAAGCATTGCCCTGCAGTTCAGAATGGAGAGACATTCAACAGGAATAAGTTTGGTATCTTACTAATTAATGTATGAGATTGTTGGCATCCCATTGAAAATTGCGTTTGAAGGTCTGAAATCTTTCTAATTGCTTACCTTGATTACTAATGTATGCAAGGTGGAACACATCTAAAACACCTATTCTACAGAAGTGCTATCACACATAACAACTGAAGTGTATAGTTTTGTCTCAAAATGGAAAGAAAAGTCTAAAACTGTAACAGCTTCTGTTTATGTTTGCCAATTTTTGTGTAACATTTGCTCTGACATCATTGTAATACATCCTCTTGACATTTTTTTTCTTGTGCAGATTTTTTGGTCACATAGAATCCGAGGAGTCAACAGAGCATGATGCCTTCCTTCAAGAATGCATCATGGACCCTACTCTAAGGGATCGTATGGCTATCCTCACACGCACGTTCCAGAACAGACGCACGGTGAGTACATAGAGAGAATATATTCTCTTACTACACAGTGCAAGCTAACTGCTAACTTTTAATTACTTATTTGCATTTTCATTTCCATTCGTTATTTTACTGTTACACTTTACAATTTGGTAAAAATTATCTTGGGGCTGAATGAGCTTAATGATGAATGTACTTGCTTCTACTTAAGACGAAGAAAAAAAGAAAGAAAAACAAGAATACATAGTATAATGAAGTATAATATCCAAATTTGTGGAGAGAATTCCTGACAGACAGTACATACAGGATCAAGAAAACATTATAAAATAGTTGAAGAGATGAATTTCTTTTTTATGTCCTCTAAAGAATTATTTGCGTTAGAGATAAAGGTTCCTTTGGTAAATATGAGGTGATGGAAAACAGGGTTCTAAAACAACTTAAAAAGTAGAGTTCTAGAAATAATTTGTCTTTGCCCTTGCATTTTTGTTCTGCTTCAGCTTGTTCGAGGTGACGAACTGTTGTTCACGGACGATGCCTTCAACATTATGCCCCAAGAGGGAGACATTTGGCCTAATTCAACCTGCGAGATCAACGTAGTCTTCAAACCTACCGTGGCCAAGGCCTATAACCAGATAGCCTATTGTGACATTGTCGGTCGTGAGACCAGGCTCCCGCTCAGACTAAAGGGAGACGGGATCGGACCGCAGGTCTTCTTCTCCTATGACACCATGAACATGGGACACATCTTTATCAACTCGAAGCATTCATACGAGGTGAGTGATGGGGTCTTACCGTGAATGTTTCTAGCAGTTGATTGGTGGTTCTAATCGAGTGTTAAGTGGGACTATTTAAAAAAAAAATCACACTCCGAAGCAATCGGAAATGAATAGCAGGATGACCGTAAATGATAAATCGAGTTGGAAAGCGTAGAAATTACTTTACATTTTCTGTGTAGGATGGACTCATTCCCTTCTTTTACGTCGCTATTTTTACAAGGAATTACTCACAGAATAATTCTGTTATGACATATCTGCACGCAGTATTTAATCTCAATCGTATTAATTTTCCCTTTTGATTTATCTTGATGAAACTCTTACAATTGCTGCTCAAAATTCATACTGATATCCACTGTTCTAGGTGGTGCTTGGTAACCGTGGGGACATCGATGCTGCCTTCCGCCTGGTGCCCTCCGACTCCACCTTTGGGCCTTACTTCAGCTTCTCCCCCAGCTCCGGGGTGCTGGAGCCAGGAGCCTTCCAGGCCATCGATGTGACCTTCTCCTCCCCTCACCTGGGGGACTTCAGTGAAGACTTCTTCTGGGAGGTGGAAGGGCTACCGTACCAGCACAAGCTCAACTTCAGGGGCTGTGTTATAGGACCCACCTTCCATTTCGATGTCCCCCGCCTCAAGTTTGGCACCATTTCTTATGGTATGCATGAAATAAAAATAAATTAGGAAGGGAATGGTGAATTTTGTCTCTTGGCAGACCCATAGTAGATTTTTGCACACAAATATTTTGAAATGTGCCTACATTTGCCACTCTCCACCCAGGTGTTAAATGGGTACCGGTAGGAAGAAATTCCTTAAAATGCTGTGAGCGTCGAATCGGCAGCCTAGCATAGCCGGGTAATGTTGGAGCGCCTTGAGGACCTTGCAAGGTCGATACGTGCGCTATATAAGAATCCAATATTATTATTATTATTAAATTAGTGAATTCACTTGCTTCATATTTTTGTACCTCAGAAGTCAGAATGCATAAGTTTGTTACAAGGTTTGACAAGCCTCAAGTAATATTAAGGGTGGCACTAGTTATTGTAGTAGAAAATGTTTACAAATTTACATGTAATACATTTGTCAGGGTACTTGGTATTGAATTGATGAAAAGCATGTTGTTATGTGATTTGTTGAAGTATGAGCTTTATTTTGTAAAGTATTACAGTTTCAGATGTATTTTAGTCATGTTATGTGATAGCACTGTGAAGTCTTTCCACATTGTAACTTTCCTCATTAAACACATGCAACAATATTCTACTAATCAATTTAGCATCTTCACAAATAAATGGCTTGTCTGTGAGTTGAAGAATCATTAAAGGTTTTAAAAGAGAAACAAGTTCATAAAGTATTTAACTTACCCTATCCGAATAAGTTTTTGTATGGTTCGAAATGGAATGCCCAACTCATCATTTGTATGATATCTTCTTCCTCAAGGCTTCAAGAGCACCGAGGTAGCCACCTTGGTGAACACGGCCCTGGTACCCATGGGTTTCAGCCTGAGAGTGCCTGGGGACGGGGAGGGTGATGTGGTGTCTGCTACCAGTGGTGAGGTGACCCTGGGGAGGTCCAACCTCAGCACCCCTGCCAGGGAGTTCCAGATCGTTCCATCCTCAGGCACGGTGGACCCTCAGAGTGAAGTCAAGATTGAGGTAAGTGAAATATTTGCATGATTCCTTTTCAAATCATGATGATTTTGTACTCACTCCATTTTTTCAAATCGGTAGATTATCTGTTTTGCAGTAATTGGTGAAAATCCAATGGGGATTTAAACTTTTATCTAGTCCATACAGGGAGCCATGGTATTACGAGTCACTTTTCTCTGACATATTGCTATTCAAGAGCCCCTACCAGGAAAATACATATACAGTCAAACCTGTCTACAGTGACTGCCCAAGGGAAACACAAGAAGTAGTCTTTGTAGACGGGTTCCTTTAGTACATGTTTCAATGATAAAGCATTTTCAAGGGAAACAAAAATGTGCTTGTTGTAGACAGGTGATCTTTGTAGACAGGTGGTCAGTAAAACAGGTTTGACTTCAGCTGAAGGAGAATTTGTTGGTTAAGACCTGTATTACGAAAAAATGCATTCCTGACAGGCTTACTTGACCTTTACTTATAATGTGAAACTCTCTTGTCCTAATAGTTTCTAAGATAATTCAACCATTTTTGTTTGCAAATGTGATGTTTACATATGTGGAGTCATATATATTTATTTTATTGAACATATTTTGATATATATTTCTTCCAGGTTGAGTTGACTTCCAACTCCCTCAAGAAGTATGATCTTGCCCTTGTGGTCGATGTAGACGGAGTGGGACAGGAGCTGCTCTCGCTACCCATATCAGCAAAGTAAGTCTCAAGTTTTCCAAGGGAAATTCTTCATTGTTTCCTACTGTATTCCCAGAAACTTTCTTGATATGAACTTTTGTAAATTTTTAATAATTGCTCCTTTTGCCACAATTTTTTTTCAAGATGCCAATGTTTTGTGGTGTGATATGTGATTCTTGTATCACTTGTGAAATTCACAAAAGTGTCCCGCATTTCAAAGTTTCTAGTTTTACAACAAATTCTCTCTAAAGAAAAACTGCAAGTTAATCAAGATAAATTGTAAGAGTTTTATGGTATAGAAGTTAAAAAAAAAAACAGATCATGCTTTGAGAGAGCTTGGAAATTGAAAATCTGGGAAAATGCTTTTGTATATCAGGGTAAGCTAAATGCAGAACAAATTTCACATCTATATTTATGTTCTTTCTGCAGATGTGTAGTGCCTTCCATCTCTGTGGTAACACCAATCCTAGACTACACCCGCTGCTTCCTGAACCATCCTTACGAGCTAAGCGCGAGGCTGTGTAATGACACTGACCTTCCTGCTAAATATGACCTCGTTCCACAAGTAAGTAGCAACCTCAGTCTACAAACAATTGTTTTAAATCAGGTATTGGCTGGGATTTAACTGACAGAGATGTGATTTGATTGAAATCAATAAAAACTTGATTAAAATCAATCATAACTTGATATCAATCTTAGCTCTGTACTAAAGAGATAGGAGTTTTGTGTAACGGACTAGACCATGTGGTTTGAGTTAATGATTTTTTTTCTTCGGCAAGTTTTGATTAGTTGTCTGTATTTTCTAGTTTAGACAATCCATTCATTGCATAATAATTGATGAAAAGTTTATTTAACCTAGATTCCTTTGAAATGTATTTCCTAGCTCAAGATGCTTTAAAGCCCCACTGCACTATACTTATAGCTACTTGCACCCTCTATATATAGCAAACAGTGCCTAATCAGTGACCATTGGTCCCCCATGGTCCCCTTTTTCTTGTTAATTGAGGGCTGATTTGATGAGATAACCACCTGCCAGTGACCACCCACAGGGGGGTCTAATCCCTCCTGGCCAAACTAGTGCAGATGGGCTTTCATTACCAATGGCAGGTGCAGGCCACTGAAACCCATTTGATTGAGTATGACTTTCTTTGCTACAGGAGGTAGATGAGATGAGCCCTATGCTGTTCAGCAGTCCAGAGCCGACAGGGATCCTACCCCCTCACACCACCCGCCGTGTACCCCTAGTCATTACCCCTCAAGGACTGGAGGAGCTGGAAACCTATGCAGAGTTCAGTATCTTTGGTAGCATGGAACCTCCTCTGGTAAGTCCTTTGTCCTTGTTCAATTTAATTAAATTCAAAATAGGTTTGCAGCAGTAAGCTGAATTGCAAATTAATATACAAAATACAAAATAAAAATTAGAATTCAAATTACGAGGGAGTATGTACAATTGATAAATTTGTTTGCAGCCCATCGCACTGCACATACAGCCTACCAAGTACTGTGCTGGTACGAGGATTACGTGCATGCGTTGTGTAATCTGTGCAATATACGCGCGGGAGAGAAGGAACGCGCGGGTTGGGAGGCAACAGCAGTGCATTGCATTACGAACATAATGCAGTTACTAGTAGCTAGCGATCAAGAGGACGCAATTATATATAATGCTGATATTTACACGGGACGATGAGGTGCCAATATTTTTGCATGTTGATAAATTTGCGATAATATACAATGTGTGAAATTCACGAAAATAACCCTCGCAAAAAATAACAGCTTATTCAGTAATCAGTTTGTGTCCTTTCTTTATTTTTGTTTAAACCACTGTAGTAAAGATGATCATGAAGTAAAGTTTGTGAGAAATTTTATATTTTCTTTGTGAATGAATCCTTATTGATTGTTAAAATACAGCAGAAATATCTACTGTTTTTTACATGACCCCCAAGTTTCTTTTCATTGTTTCTTTTTCATTACTTTGATGAATTGATAGCTTACTCACAAATGCAAAGAATGCAGTATCTGATGAAAATCAAATCCATTATCCTTTGTTCTTCCCCATGCAGCAAGTGGTGTTGAAGTGCATAGGAGAGGGGCCAGTGGTCCACGTGACCCCTACTGAGATGGACTGGGGTCAGACCCAGGTTCTGAAAGACATCTCCAGGATCGTGACCCTGTCCAACGAGTCTCTCATACCAGCCCCATTCACATGTCACATGGTAAGAAATGGGTTTACATAATCATAATGATAATCTGGATTTAGGTAGCGCTTAATACAAATTACCGTCTCTAAGCGCTTTACAGATATTTTTACCCCGGTTTCATTCACGCACAATGTGCACCATCTCTACTACCTGTGGTATTCCTACCTACACCGTGAGGGCATATGGCAATTACTGACACAAAAGCTTTTGTCATCCTACCATGCATGGCCCCATTTCTCTCCTGGGTATGGAGTGGCAAATGTAGATTAATGTCTTAATTGCCATAGGACATTAGTGCCATGTCTGGGATCGAACCCACGACCTTCGCATTTCAAGTCAAGTGCTTAAACCCCTCGACTACCATAACTTTGCATAAGTGAGGACCATTTACCAAAGAGTGAAATAAGAGTGTGTCTTTCCATAGATGTTGTGAATAAATACATCATAATGTTAGACTTGTTTCTACTCAGACTTTCATACAATGTGGCCATGAAAGGAAGAAAACATACAAAATTACACGGCGTCAATCTCAATATTTGTGTCTTCTTGTCTGTCTGTCCATTCAGGTTCGTCCCAACACCTCGTGGAAGGTTGAACCAAGCGAGGGCGTGATCCCACCAGAGGATACTGTGGAAGTCACACTCACTGTCAACCTTGATGATTGCATCAGGTAAGGATCGAGTAGTGTTGCCAATTTGATGCACCTGTAGTAATCGAAGGATTGACATTGCAATGGGAATTTTATGGGGCCAAAAATAATCTCATATTGTTGTTCATAAGCAATGTCTTTGTGAAAAATTCAATCGTACTGCTGGAAATGTTGAAAACTATGACCTCATGTTCAGTGGTCTTATTGTAAATGAAAGAACATGTGGTGTCATTAAAAACATTTCTCTTTATTAAACAGTTGTCTACCAAACCAATTTGTTTATGCTTTTAGCATGCTTGGATTTCTTTGGCAATTTATTTCACTGTATTTCAATTTATTTCACTTGGATCAGGAGTGGCAAAAGTACAAGGATGTCCTGTCTCCAGATATGTTTCATATGAACAATCTCACTGGTTTATTGCTGTTTGGCCTAAAACCAGTTTGTCTACTTCCCAATTGGTCTCTTCCCATATGGTCTAATAATCATTTAATCATAAATAATGATAATCATCAAATGATTATTAGACTTTATGGATATAAGACGAAATGGGCATTAGACAAACTGGAAATTAAACTAACTGGTTATTAGACCAAATGGGGAGTAGACTAATTTGAGATTAGACCAAACAGAAATTAGACCGAATGGGTATTAGCCGAACTGGTCATTAGACCAAATGATAAGTAGAAGAAATGATTATTAGACCATGTGGATAGTAGACGGGCTGGGTGTAGACCATATGGGAATAGACTGATTGGTTAGTAGATGAACTGGTTGTAGACCAAACGGCAATTCACGATCTCACTGCTTATTTTGAACAGGTTCCAGGATAAGCTGGCCATTGATTTTAAGGATAGCCAGACGAGGATCATCAAGGTCCAGGCCTATGGTCATGGGTCCACCATAGTCTCGGACCCACCTATGACCCCCACCATTGAGCTAGGCCATCATTTCAGGTAAGACCTGGTTAGTTTATAAGCCCTATCCCAGCTTTTGCAAAAAGTCATTGGAAGTACGAGTAGGATTTCCATCAATTTTATAAATAAGAAAAGAGCAATTACATAACCTAGATGTGAATGACTATAAATCAGAAATACATCACCTATTGACACAAAAATATCTGTTTCCAGACTACTGTGTAGCATCTTCACTTCCATTTAATTCCTTAAAAAAAAAAAAAATCATCTGTGATTCCAAACATGTCATCCCCTTTTCTTTTGTACTCTCATTTTCTAATATTGATTTCTCCACCATATGTCCCCCTCCCCCTCTTCCTCTCTCTCTCTCTTCTCCCCTCTCTCTCCCTCTGCCTTACTCCATCCACAAAATTACACATACACTGTAATAAAGGATTTATTTTTCAGTGCTCATTATTTTGTATATAGTCAAAACATTGGAAGCTGCAAAAAAGGAAAAACAACGACTTTGAAGTAGTAGTAGTAGAGGTTATTTTACCTGACTGCTAAGAAAGGGTAAATGCTTGTTAGTAAGCAACCAGAGGGACTTGGTAATGAGGATTAATGCCTTACCAAAGGGCACTATGCGCATCGACTTGGTTTTGAACCTGGGTCACTGGATTACGAGGCCACTGCTCTACCAACTGAACTATCATGCCTCCTCAAACCCTCAACCTTATGATTGAGTGTCAACTAATGTCATAACTTCCTCTCTTCCATAATTTTTTTTCCTGAGCAGTAGTAAGCCCAGCACAAGGACCTTCACGCTGACCAACAAGGGACGTCGTCATCAGCAGCTATTCTGGACCACAGAGGGCTTTGCTCCGATCAAGATCAAGAGCAGAGAACCAGAGTACAACCCACTGGATGTCAAGTACCAGGTCTGTCCATTGTTCAGTTCTCTTAATACTGATTTAATTGTTGGATGAGAAAGACTTAACTTGGTCAATGTGACCTTTGAGCATCGATCTACTCCATGTTCATTCATTTGACACTCAATCTTAAGGTGGTAAGACCTTGGTCCTAATTTTGCCACTCTCCACCCAGGTGTAAATGGGTACCTGGCCATTACTGGGGTAATAATAATTGCAGGTGTTTACGTAGAACAGCATTGAAGCAGATGAGGCTTCCATGGGTAAACAAACTGTTAAATTGTTAAAACTGTTTGTGTTAAAGGGGAACATTATCACTCCAACTGTCGAACCTGCACAAGATCTTCATCTTGTGTTTGTTTGCTATTTTTGCTAATCATGTGTCACTTGAAAGGGCAAATTGCTCAGACATTAATTTGGCCTCTTTCTTTTTCTTGATTCTAGAAAATGCCTCCTCCCGCTCCACCTCCAAGACCTGTGTTCAGCCTGACGCCCTCTAGGTTTGAACTTGAGGCAGGAGAGAGTATTGAGGTCCATCTTGAAGGAGCAAGCTCAGAGTAAGTCATTTCATCAGTTCAAGTTACTGGAAAACCAGTTTAAATCCCGCTGGCTCCAATATTTTTTTTGACTTGGATTTTCAATCACAGATCGATCAATCGATCTTATTTACTGGGTGTAAGCCACAACTATGTTTAAACAATGTTTTGCAGAAATTGTCTTTGACTTTTTGTGTAGTTTTGATAACTAGGGCCTTTTCAAAAGCCTAGATCGAGCCATCTAAACAGTGTGATTAAACATTATGATTGACAACAAATGTTTCTTTTGAACAAGCAATGATTTTTAAAATATTTTTTATTGCAATCTGTGCAACTTTTTATTAATATTTCTACACTAAAGATGCTTCTTGCCATTAAAAAATGTTTGACCCATAGCCTAGGAAACTGAAGCTAAGGAATATCTGGGAAAGCACTAAGACTAATTTATTTAACACGGCGTTCTGAACCCGATTGTTTTACCAAGTTGATGAACAAGCATCAAATTCTATAACATGGCTCCAGAAATAAACAAACTGGATGAATTAAGTGGCTGTACGTAACTACTTGATTGTTTCATTTCAATGTTTTTTAGACCCAAGACAGTGAAGGAGAGGATGTTATGTCATGCCATCATCGGCAGGACCAGTGGCAAAGAGAAGATCATGAAGACAGACATCAGTATCACCTTCATCAGCCCTGTACTTGAGTTCTCCTCCAAGCAGGTGGCCTTCAGAGTAGATAAGGTAATTTCCTGTTCAGTCCAGTTCAATCTGCTTTAAAGCAGTTTACTCGAGTCAATTTTAGTTTGTCTAAAGGTCGCTCATCCTATTCAATTCAACAGAATTCTTTATTCTTACACCCAGTGTGATTATCAAAATTTGCCCATCTGATTGCTAAAGCTCATGCTATTTTTTCTAGCATGTCATTTGGGATGCAAGATTGTATCCTTGTAGGTTATTATATATTGTAATCTATGTTAAGTTCTTGTCATTTTAGATGTAAGTTGATGGTTTGTCTTATTTCAATTGTTAGGTCACCATTGCTTGAAAGAAAAATGATTAAATAAAATAAATAGAATCAAAACTGTAGAGTTCAGTCGATTTGATGGATTCATACTCCATTCACCTTTATGACATAACTTTGCAAAGGGACTTCTGCATGCATTTAAACTGGATTGAAATTTAAACATTTCCATCAAAGAGCTGTGTAAACTGCATAAAATGAAGTCGCTGAAGTTTTCTGTATTCACTATTTTTAATGTACACTTCAGTTGAATTTATGTCATCCTCAGGACTGCCATACTAACTTAAATAGATAAACCGTTTTGACTTGATATTTATTTCTGTAGCATCCTGATGATGTCCTGACCATGCAGTACAATGAACTGACCATGACCAACGTGTCGTCACTGCCCCTGCATACCACCGTCCAGCTGGAGAAGCCCTTCCAACTAATTGAAGATGGGATTGAAGCCCTCTCCTGTCTGGTAAGTCTCTGATAGGCTTTCTTTTCTCTTCTGTTCATGCCACTACTAAAAGCGGTGCTCGAGGCATTATGCCCTTGGATTGTTTTGCTGGCCCGGCTTAGCATTTGTAAAGATATCTTGTTGCCGTGGTAAGCAGTGCTGATGGGATGATTATAATTAAAAAAACAGGTGAAATATCTGAGGGAATGTAAAGGTACTGATTTAGATTTTGATATACAATATGACAATGTTATCCAGTTTTTATAGATCATAGTGTTCATTAACAGATAATTTTAGAACCATATCTAAGATTTAATAATTATATGAAAATATAAAAGGAGATAAAGTATTCAAAGTTGCCAACTAATATTTGGCAATGATGGTTTTGATGGGAAGGATAGGAGGAGAATTGTTCCACTTTATGGAGTTTGAAAGTTAGCCACGTAGTCTAAATAAAATCAACAAATGAATGCAATCTATAGATGTGCCTTCTAAAGGGACCATTTTCAACTTTTCAGTCTTTCCATGTGATAATGTATTTCCTTACCCCTACCTGTACTTTTTTACAGGAGGTGCCTCTGGAGGTTGGTGAGAGTAAGCTGATGACCATTCAGTTTGATCCTGCCTATCAGAATGATTCACACAGCCGTATCGCTGAGAAACTGCTGACTCTCACATACCTAGAGCATCCGCACACTGTAAGTAGAGTTTCCTAAAGATTTCTCTTAATTTTTTTTAATTGATATTACCTCAGCAAGCATCTGTTATTTAAGCACTCATAAATAAGGTTAACTTCAGATTTAAATGATAGTTTCTGATCTCATAATCATTCAGCATAAATGTCATCTACCTTTTATTAAACCTAGCACATGGCTTATGACTAACCCCAAACCACTCTTCATATTTTTCCTTGAATCATCCCTTTTTTCAAACGGTTTTGTACATTTATATGCAGTAGCAGCATAAGTCACAAGGGCCAACGCAATGATATCTTGAAGTTGTACTTGATTTATTATATGTTATTCCACAGTTGGATACTGTATTCAAAATAGTGTATTACTATGGAAAAAAAAATTCATTCTATCTGACTCATCCAAGTAGGATACAAATCAATGACTGTTTCTGCCACCATTAAATTAACTGGCCACATTTCAATCATCATTGGTTTTAATCATGTTCAGGACTACGTCAGCCTGCGTGGCGAGGTCTTCTTCCCCAACCTGACCTTTGAGAAGATGCAGGTCAGCTTCGGTTGCATCCTCAACGACACGGAGGTCACTCGCTACGTCAACATCACTAACAACAGCCCCATGGCCGTCAACTACCGCTGGTCTTTCCTGGAACCAGAGACGCCCATCATGCTCTACCCCCTGCCAGTCCCTGCACCTCGAGTTGAGCCTGTGGAAGGTAAGATACTGTCCTCCTTCTGTCCTGGTTCTATCCATTTCTAGTATTTACTTGATACACATTGCTAATGTGGTAATTCTCAAGTTATCTTGGGCGTATTGAAGAATTTGATGATGCAAAGGAAAGGATTTTCTTTTCGCGCTTTAGAAGATGCAAGACTTGCACATTTTTAGCTATTGATCTCAAATTAAAGTGGTTAGTCCAAGGAAAATCATTGATACTGTGTTGATTTTATCAAACGCAACTCCTGCTCTAATCTGCACCACATTATATTGTCAAAATATGTGTAGTGCTCTTTATACAGGGGATTGGTAAATCCCCTCTCCTCCCTTACTAAAGAAAAGAAGAAAAAAAACATTGAAATTATGTTGATTCTATGATGTTTATCAATTAATTCAGTAACTGTTCTCATCTGCGTTTAGAATTAATAGTAGATGAAAAAATTCTTAGGTTATTGTTGTACAATCATGTCAGTATATGAATAGTTCTTTTGCTTCTGTTGATTATCCATGTCCTTGAATAGAAATGTGTGTTGTTCCATCCTGCTAGTATTTTAGCTGTGTATTTACATGTTTTTATTTAATGAATGTATAATAACCAAGAACAAGTTTCAATTCATCAGCAAAAAAAATAAAAATAAATGACAGTGAGATATGTGATTTTAACACTTCTACATTTTAGGGGGTTGCATGTACTTTTGGGGAAAACATAAAACGATACATTTTTACAATATTTTTAATCTTTTGAAGGGTTGGTTGGTCGAGGAGGTGAATGATTTTGCATGCAGCTAATTCATTCTTCTCTTTTGCATGGTAAATCATGCGTAACAAAATTAGAATAAAATTCCTTATTTTATTTCCTCTGTTCCACTTTTCCCAGAATATGGTAAATGGTTTTGTGTAGCCTATTTAATATTTCATGCATTGAACACTTTTTGTGAACAAATATACACAGATATCACCTTTTCACAATTGATTTTACTGATAGTACTTCACTGAGTTCCAAGTTCTGCCAACTTTTGCAGCAATGTGCACTTTTTGTACTTGTGCTTTTAGAGATTTGTGCACCATCACATCACATATTCAGAAGAAAAAAATATGTAGATTGAAATTCAGTGCAAATAATGTAGGCATAAACTGGTGTTAGTTTTAAGTTATAGTTTTGTTTATAGTTAGCATTTCAGTAGGGTGTGACATAACCATTTTGTTAGTATGTAGATTTTTAGTCAAGCAGTTAGGGTATAATGCCCTTGCCAAGATAGAGAGGAGACCATTTTCTCATTATTTGATGAAAATTTATATTCAGTTGAAAGTTTATATGTTTTTGATATCTAACCATTCTGAGATCTGAAAAGTTGTTATTATAGAACTGCTTGCCCTTAGCCTCTTGGTTAGTACACACAGTTATAACAGAAGTATTCTGATTGTAGAAGCTAGTATTAGATAAACCGTTTTGCACGCACTTGTACTTTCCCAACTTTATTCTCTATGCAAGAATCCGAGTCGGATGAGGAAAGCGAAGGTGAGGTTTTAAGAGATAACTATGGGCATCAATCCTTAGGGAGATACGTACTCCCCTTGTTTTAAGGCAGTGGACATATCACTCACAACACCACTACCCCCCCCCCACCATTCCCATCTCACCCACCACCACATTTTTTTTTTAAACACTAAACATTCCTCTCTTTTTTTCCCAGTCAGATAGTGCCCAATCTCAGCATTTTTTGTGTGATTTGTCTCTAAAACCTTTTGGATACTGATGAAAAATTGAGAGCCGACAGCCTAATTTCCTTTTTTGCTGTTTAAAGTTTTCACTGTGTCCCACCTGCAAATGAGAATGGATTGATGCCCATGCTTGAAACTACTAGTTTTTAGATCCCATCCTTATAACCATATTGTAATTCACCCTGATTTAGTTTTCTCCACTGTTTAATCATTATTGTTTTGTTTTTTACCACTACTAATCTAACATGTACTAAAAGTCATATCCAATATCCATGGCCTTGGTATATTCATATCAAAGCTAGTTCAGAAATGCCATTGAGAACAAGATGAGTTATTTGTAGGCGATGTAAATGCAAGATGATCAAGTGCTTTTTAAAAGTGCTGATTTTATAAAAATCTTTGTATATGGTATGATAAAGTGCGTATCACTATACTTGACTTAAAATATGAGAAAGTATTACTTCAAAATATATTTTGGTACATTATCAAATGTTATATATTCATCAGCAAAGGAGAATATTCATATTTCATTTAAGTGTACACTACCAAATTGAGGGACAAAAACTACTAAAATGAAGATCTTATTTGAGGATGCAAAATACCATGCAATGCATGCATCAAAGACAAGAAATCAATATTCTTGAGTCACAAATTTTATTCAAAGAAAGGAAGAAAATGGACAAAGAGTTCAAATTTAGTTTTTGTTTACATCAAATTTGAGCATATTCAACACTTGAGGAAGTAAGTGTGTTTGGATATACTATTGTGTTAATTTAGACTAATCCACATTAGTATAAAATCCACCTCTTTTTTCCTTGCTTTTTAAAATCTATATTCATCAGCAATTTATCAACCTGTTTATAGCCAAGCTTTGTAATGCTTTCCCATTTTACATTAGAAACCATTGATATTATCAAAGTGATTTATGTCTATTTCAATCCCAAACAAAATAGTTGGTATTGTCCATTTTATTTCAGTAATTCATTTGATATTTTTTTAAAGTAGATTTCATAAAATGTCATGTCTATATTCATGTAGAAAATGACATATGAGAAGTGTGTATTCATCTACCAGTTTATCCCATTTATATATTTCCAAACTTAAAAGTTTGATCATATGCAATATAAGAAAAATTATTTTATCATCCATATAGAAGGTTTAAAAGATATCAAACATCTTGAGTATATGTACATCTGAATTCCATGGATTCTATTATTCTTTAGTCCAAAGTGTAGTAAATTTTCAAAGAAATTAGCATTATTTTTTTACTTGAAAAGTTGTCCTACAGACAATAGTACAACCTATTGAACCGTTGAGATAGCATGAGTGGGACCAATCCTGCCAAAAGAATAAGTGTTGTAACCGCAAACCTTGATCAAATCTATCCTCACCATGGTAGCCTTCAAAGATTTCAATATGCTTTATCATTTATATTTATATTGTGTTTATGTCCGTAAAAATTTAACAATGCTTCCTTTTGTTTGAAATTACCAATGACATTCAAGTCCCCATGTATAATATCCAATTTTTTGAGTATCCTGTGAATAACAAAATAATACCCCGTTTTTTATGTGCACGAGATAAAATGAGTTGCACCTATTATTCAAATTTGGTGTGCGATCAAGGTATGAATTTTTGTGACCCTGTTTATTGTTTTGCTTCAGTTTGAAACCAAACTAATCAACATCATAAGAGAGAATAGACTTTATGAAGAATATTGGGTTGTCAATTATTGTGCTTACTTTATTTAACAAGAGAATGATAAAGATGAAAAGAATAAATGGGATTGGAGTATAAGAAACTGCAATGAATATGAGTAATTAAGAACTAAATAGTAAAAGTAGTGTTGGTATTGTTGTTTTTAAATGTATTCATGCTGTATATAAACTTGACATGATGTTGAAATACTGGTACATGTATTCCAAAGAATGGTTAATATGGTAGAAGTGATGGTAACAAAAATATTAGTGATACAGTATGTATCATGCTAATACTGTTGGCAGGTGAGTTGTTAATTACATTCTTTAAATCTATAAAACAGATTCAGTAGTAGTTTAAATTCTGTAGTCCTAAAATTTTACTTGTAGTATGTAGGTTTATAGATGTTATGAATATTAGTATTTATAACAATAGTTTTAATATATCTTCCAAGGTAAACTTAATATACCGGTCATGGATGGAATATATTCAAATATATTCATTCATTATGCGGTCTACTTGTACTCAGCTATTCATGAAATATTTATGTTTCCCAAGCAGCAGAGACACATGTAGCCTTTGAGGAACCTCTCCTTGGTGATGATGATCACCAGATGGAGGAAGGTGAACAGACAGAACGAGAGAAGGGTGAAGGAGGAGCAGAGAGTGGAGAGGAGAAGATGGATGAGATGAAGGTATGATACTTATTACTACTGCATGAGGATGGCCAGGAAGGTTGAAATATACACAGGTTTAGCCAGTAGTTAGTGTGAATCTATAGCCTGTAGCTCTTGTTATGAATTTAGTTCATTGGCATAAGAACTTGAAGAAAATGGAGAACATTGTTATAACAAAAACAATGAGAAGTGGAAATGGCAACAACAACAAAACGCAAGAAAAAGTGGGTTTGGATTGATCTAATACCGGGAGTAGATAGAAATATCTACATCTGACATGTATGCAGACAATAAAGAAAAGGTTGCCATAAATATCCAAATAGAATACCAGTAGAACCTTTTAAGTCTTTGGGTCATGAAAGTTTTGAATGTAGTAAACAAGGGAGGAGTCCCAGATTCAATATCCTTTCCAATGTTTTTGTGATATCATGACAACTATTTCAAATCTTTTTTTGATTATATTTGGCAGAATGCTGACGACCAAGCACCTCCAGACAACGTCATAGAGAAGCTGGACATTCAGATCCTCTCTCCAAAGCCTCCCGTCGATGAGACCGACAAGGCGACCTTGAAGTCCATCAGCCTTGCCGACGTGACCTCCGAGAAGGAGAGCAAGAAGGACAAGAAGTTGACAGCCAGCAAGAAGAGCCCTCGCAAGTCGACGGCAAGGAGCGGAGGCAGCAAGGCAATGAGTAAGACCAGTATCAAGAGCGAGGACAAGGCCAAGCAGGATGATGAGGTTGCTACAGTGGACCAGGTTTGTGCAAACCATGTTCTTCCCTCAAAGCCCCACTGCAATACTTATAGCTACTTGCGCCCTCTATATAGCAAACAATGCCTAAGCGTGATCCTAAGCGCCCCCATGGTCCCCTTTTTCTTATATTAATTCAGAGCTGATTTGATGAGATAACCACCTGTCAGTGACCATGCAGGGAGGTCTAATCCCTCCTGTCCAAACTAGTGCAGATAGGCTTTTAAGAGGGAGGATATGGGTAAACATAGGGGTTGCTCTCTATATCTTCTCTTGCAAATTTGGGGGCTCATTTGACCCACTAAGTAGATCTTAATTGAATTACGATGGTTCATAGAGAATGAGAATAGTGAAAATTAAACTTCATTAAGAATTATCAAGTAGATGCAACATCAGTAGAAGAGATTGCATCACTACCTTAAACCTAAATTCTCCCTAATCAACCCCTAACAAACATGATGTTCTTGGGTAGAAATGCTGGAGGTAATTGTAAGCTAGGTTCTCGTATTTCGATCTGCACCTTTGGCAAATGGTAAATACAAGAAACAAGCACACAGCCTCCATCATTGTCAAAACTTTTCCCTTTCTCATTTTCTCCCACCCATGCAGCCCCTGAGTGACCGTGACCCTCCAGTCGTAGAGGATGAGGTACCGACTGCCCGAGCTCCTAGCCCACTCACAGCTCTGAGGCCTGGTACAGCAGCCAGGCAGAGGCTCAACAAGCTCCAGTACATCCAGGCCATCACAGAGCCAACTGCTGTCGGCATTGAAGAGGTACGTACGACTATAAGAATTGTGTACACTTACTATTAAACTTGCGTACTCGGTGCTTGCTCAAATTTCTGATTCATTGACTAGTTAACCTGACTGCTACGGAAAGCGAGATAAGGAAACGTGGAACCTACATCTTGTAGTCCTTTCAGAGTGACTAGGTAATTAAAGTGTAATACTGCACCAAGAGCAATAGCCACTGGCACAATTACTAGGTTAAAACCTGAAACAAGACTGCTGATCTACACTGAACTAACAATGTTGCTTGTCAAAGAATTTTAAAAAGAATTTTAAAAAGAATTGCAGTAAAAATGCAGTTATAAATGCTCAAAAGTCCAAGAGACGAGCGTTTATTTTGACTTTCCTATTAATGCAATGACGCCTATATAAAAGGAGAGTCAAATGCATTTTTGTTTGCTTTTAGTGCTTCCCAAATTGCTCATTTTGTGGGTGCAGATGAAAAGTAAATGCATTATTTGTCAAAATATTTGCATTCGGTAGAAAATAGAAAAAGCACCCAACCACTGAAAACTATGATAGAAGATTGGAATACTTTAACAGCTACATATTGGACAGTTTATATCTATGATCCGAAGTCAGCTTGTTCTGGCAGGCAGCGTTGAATATCAATGACCGGGGTAATAGTATATTTGTAAAGCACTTAGAGACATTTGTATTAAGGGCTATATAAAAATAAAATATTATTATTATTATTATTATTATTATTATCTCAGTTGTGTAATCTTAATAAAACTTGAAACACCATTTTCTTGTTCAGGTGTTTGACATCCTACCCTTGTACGGCACCCTGCTCCCTGGCGAGTCGGATACTGTGACCTTCACCTTTTATGGTCATGCAGAGATAGGGTCAGAGGCTAAAGCCCTTTGCAACGTGGAGGGTGGACCCTGCTACGAGCTTGACCTGCAGGGGGAGGCATCCATCGTCCAGTATGAGTTTGACCTCAAGAACATTGATTATGGCAGACAGGTAGGCGGACAATATACATAAGTTTATATTCTTGCTCTACGATTGGTCAAAAGTTTGTTGCACTGTGTAGTTAGTAGTACTATCTACACAGTGCAACTCACTTTCACTGAAGATTGTAAACGGTGCGTATACGTCTTACGTAAGTACTGCATGCACTGTACGTATCGTACACCGTTTGCTAGCTGTTAATTGATGACTCAATGCTTTAAAATGAAGGAAGAAGTGAAATGTTTCCGATGTGGAATATAAAGCAAATAATCACCTTTTTGGTTTCAGGCGATGGCAAACGATCACTTCCTTGGCGATCTGAATGTCCTCAGCTTTGCTTCGGAAAGATAGCTACATGTACATCCAGATCGCCTCCGAAGTGATAGTTTGTACCATCACCTATAAGTATGCTTTATTCTGCAATTATAGGGAGCAAATAGATGCATTTTTCAAGCACTGAGGGAATATTGGAAGATATTTGATTTAAAGACATCTCTGCTTGAGAAGTATGGTATAAATGTTATTAACAGTAACGACCACCTATATAGAAAGACCACCTGTCTATAACGACCATGTTTTTTGTTTCCCTTGAAAACAGTTTCTCATTGACACATGGCCTAATTAGGGCTTTATTTATGTAGTTCCCCATTTCCTTTTTTAAATTTGTTCATGAATAATTTTGTATCTTTTGTATCAATGTAATTTTTAATCGAGAATGAAATAAATGCGAATTCAATTCAATTCAATTCAAAATTCAATTCATTGACACATGTAAAAAAAAAACCTGTACATTAAGTCCACCTGCATATATAGACCAATTTTCTGAAGGTTAAATTTCAAAGTGATCACCATTCCTGTGTTCCCCACTAGATGTATGACCACGTCTGCATGGCGGAGATCACCCTGAGGAACACCGGCAAGGTCGAGTTTGACTTCCGCGCCCTCAACATGGACCCATCCACCAGCAGTCGACCTCTGCCAGGGGTCCCCGTCATGGTACCTCACACCGGCCATGTGGAGGCCTACAGCGAGCATAAACTACTGGTCAAGTTCCTGCCAGGCTACCCGGAGAAGTTCCACAAGAGCTTTGAGGTGAGGGCTAGATGATTCTTGATTACCAAAGGGATTTTTTTTCTCTAGAATTGTCCCCATGAAATTCCTACTGAGTTATAACACATTCAGCTTGTCACAGAGGCCACATGAATTGGAAACAGAAATCACATATATCTTTTGAAATTGCGAAAAACATTAATAAGATTTTATAAAAAAACATTTGATATGTAAATGATACAAAATGGAGTGCTATTTGCCAAGGCCAAGTTATTTTCTCCTATCTTCATTAGAGATGTTTGTATACATAGTGATTGTATTCAGAATATAGGTTTAAATGGAACAAATACCGTTGAAGATTATACTTTAAAAATTATATTCATTATTCTACAATGCTTGGTGTATAGGACATGATATGATCAAATACTGTAGACGTATAGTCATTTCAGCCAAATTATCTCTTAAAGATGTTCATGCGTGGATAGTCGTTCGTGAAGTAGGCAACTTGGCGATCATTACATAACACTGAGCCAATGGGTATTACGCTCCTTTGAGTACGTCCGTGTGCTGCCTTCTATATACCCATGCTTGAGCAACTTTAATATCCTGTCATCTCAAATTTATTGTTTATTTGTTTGTTTTCTCCATGCATTCCTCAGATCCAAGTGGCCCACTTTGAGCCTGACTCCATCAACCTGTGCGGAGAGGGTGTGTTCCCACGGGTCTCCCTGGACCTGCCTCGCTTCCCCGATGAAGAGGGGCTCTACTGCTCCCTCATGAAGGAGGCCAAGGAGAACCTAGGGCGGGACATCAAGAAGAAACCCTTGATCCAGTCTGGATCCCCCGTTCCTTCACCTACTCCAAGGGATCCGTCCCAGGAGGATGCAAAGTCCATCATGTCACTGCAGGTGGGTTGAGCAAGCGACATTCATATCTATCTGAGGGGTGTTTCACAAAGATCCTAAGTTTAACTTATCTCTAAGTTGACTTTACAATTATGGCAAGCCCTTAGCATCTTTGAAAATAATTTAAAAGGCATAAAATGTTGATTCAAATAATTCATATTTTCTATTATCATGAGAGATTTTGTGTTCTTGATGTGGAATTTATGAAAAGTTTAAAATACTTCAATTTTTGCTAATGAATAGAATCTTTGTGGAACACCCCCAAGGTGAGACTTATTGTTATATAGAGTGTTGAATCCTTAATGGCTCAATCAAGTAGGTATAGTACAAAATCAATGAACTACATCATCATTGACTTTTGACTTTGCAATGCTCAATGCTGGTCAGTATATTATGAAACGAATGACTCTTTTCTAAGTACCTTTTGTCTTCTTCACACATGTATTTATGAGCTTTCTTCTTTCTGAACTTTTGATCTTTGTGCCTAAATTTAGTACACTGTCGGTGCTTGCGTATTTGTACTAAGTGACCAAAGTTGCTTTCAGTTAAATAAGAGTTAGGTGTCTGTAGGAAATTTGAATAATTTGTAGGTTTTAGACTTATTCCTGTGTTTCAAAGACCAACCTTTTTTCTTCATAATGCTGATGACATAAGCTATTAATACAATTCAAAATGTCCATGCACCATTTATACATGTTGTTTCAGTATAAAAGTGTATATACACAAATGATAAATTTATGATACTTCATATGCATCCCCTCTGTAGAACGAGTTCCCATCTGAGTTGGAATTCCAGTTGGAGGTTGAACGATTGCTGGTCAAGGAGTTTGCCATCGAGTATCAGCAGCAGAACGTCATGCTGGACACTGACCGGTCAGCTCAAGCTCTGGCCACTACAGGAGTCTTGATGGCCAGCGTCATGACGTCCAGGAGCAAGAAAAACGTCAAGGCTAAGTAAGTTCACATTCATTTTGTAATGTTAGCAAATTAATACTTAAGTGCCTCGATAAAAATTAGTTAACAAATGATTTTATTTCAATAGTCAGAATTCAAATTGCATACATCATAGTTGTTGTTAGGTAGGACATGTCATAATGTTTGTCCTACCTAGCAACAACCAATGTATGCAATTTGAATTCTGACTATTGAGACACATTTATTGGAACTGTTTAATGAAATAATTCATCTTGGGGCGTTTCACAAAGGCATATGCATAAATTTAGTTGCATCACAAACATGGCCTACCAAAGGTATTCTGAAGCAAGAATTTGGGTTCCTTCAGTCAGAAAGATAAAGAGGGGTATTAAATGTGTTGAGAAGGATCACCTCTAGTTTGGGATATTTGAGATATGAATTAATCACCACTAGATGACATATACTCTATTTTATTCTACTGCATTATAAAGGTGAGGGCCTGTATTGAGATGGATCTATTCAGTTTGTGTTATTTCTTTCATCCAACTTACGTTCTTTTTGTCCTTGTCTTCTTTTTTTATTGTCAATTTTTCTCTCTATTGTTCTTCTCTCTCTCTCTCTCTCTCTTACCTGACACTTTCTCCTTTTCATGTTAGCAATTGATGTGTGGTTGGTAATAATAACTGCAGTGGAAATAAAAGACATGAGCCTATTCCATTCCATTTTATTTTGGGACTTGTCTTCTCTTTTCTCTGTTGCAGGGCTCGCCTGCCAGACTACATGCTTGATTTTGGCTACGTAGTCCTTGGCACTGTCCGAACACACATCATCCGAGCCACCAACACCGGCTTCTTCCCCGTCTCCTTCTCCGCTGACCGGATCTCTCTGGCCGGAACCGGGTTCAACGTGGAACTGGACCGGGTGCGTCACCTACCAGGGTTCCCAGACCATGAGACGGTGGACTTCAGGGTCAGCTTTGACCCCCTTGGGTCTAACCTGGGACTGGGAGATGTGGAAGCGTTGATACCTGTCAATGTAAGTACAGCCAAATTTTGGCCATTTGTGATAATGTGTCATTGCATTGAATGGAATGGTCATTGCTGGTGGTCAATTTGTAATATTTGTATATCACATTCTACAGTATTTCATCCTGAAATTCATGTTCAGACTTTGAAGTTTTGAAGAATTATCTCTGTAAGATATGTAAGTTTGCATAGTGCTCCATTTGTGCCTTTTGTGATCTGATGATACCCTTTTAATGGATGTAGAATAAGCTGAGTAATATATTATCAATCTTTAGTCTCATAAATATAATAACATAATATTCCTTTATATGTTGATACTTTGAAGAAGAAAAAAAAAGGACTTCTCAGTTCTTAGGAAGCTTATAGATGTCAACTCCTACCATCAAAGATTAATGTCTTACCCATGGGCATCGATCAGCACACCAGCTTTGTTTTTTTAAAGATGGGACCTCCCCATTCCAGGCATTGCATTTCATCCAAGCTTTCATTGTTTCATGTCTAGATCATCACTGGACCATGTGTGTTCCTGCGGCTGCGTGCCTGTGTCACTATGCCCGACATGGAGATCTCAACGGACTGCCTGGAGTTCGGAGACGTCCAGTGCGGTCAGTGCAAGGTGGTGACCATCCAGCTTCACAATCACAAGGAGGTAAAGTGTGAATGGTCATCACTACCCACTGAGAAGGAGAAAAAGCTGGTGAGTTCTTTGACCATTATGTTCTCTTTCTATTGTTCATTCATTGAATGCTTCTGAAATCGGAAAGTGAAATTATTATTATTTTTTTTTAGTGGTGACTTTCTCTCATTCTCGCTCTCTCTCTCTTTTGGTTTTGGTTTCTCTGTCGCTGTCCGGCTGTCCAAAAAATCTCTCTCTCTCTCTCTCTCTCTTTCCCTCCCCCTCTACCTCTCTCGCCCTCCCCTCTTTATGTGTGTATCTCTCTCTCTCTCCCTCCCCTCTTTTTGTGTCACTCTGTCTCTGTCTCTCTCCCCCTCTCCTCTTTTTTTTTGTGTGTGTGCATGTCTCTCTCTTTCCTTTTCACTCTCTCACTTTTAATACAGTATTTACCTTGGTCAAGATGTGATAGAACATCATAAGAGATCTCATGTTTATGGCATATTGCTTGCTTTGTCCATCCAAAACATTTGGACACAAAACATTTTAGCCCACAGCATAGTACTAGAAGTATCATGTATTCATGTACATGTTTCTCTGTCCATCAGCCCTTCAAAAACTGCAGTCATACTCTAGCACACCATGGATGTTGTATATTTATTTTTCATTCTGTATACCAAAGAGCCATGTTCTGTAAATTCCCTTTTAAACCCTAACAAAATGTGTTGCTTTACAAAAGGAATTAAGATATGTTTAGTTATCTTTTTCTTTTCTCTTCATTTAGTGATCATGGCAATTCTGTTAATTCATTGTGCAACTATACTCTTTTAATAGAAAAAATGTAAACATCAAGGTGTTAAATATGTGCAAGTGTTAATTTCAATGGTGTAAATGGCAAACTCTACATGGTAACATTGGCATTTATCAGTTAATACATATATCTTGATCTCCTATATAATTTATATGTCTCAGCCGAAAATTCAGACATCTTATTTTCGCCTACATCGAGTTTGTATTTTCAAAGTACAATCTCACTGCTCTCATCATTCATACAAATAACATTTAAAGTGTATTATGTTATACTATTATTTGTACCTTTCTGTTTTCACTAGCTTCTGGAGAAACAAATGAAGGTACAATTTGCCAATTTTAAAGCACGCACCCTTGTCACAATATTGCAAATTTCACCCTCGCCCCTTTTGTCATTTGATTCATTATTGCTTTTTTTTAGTGTGCCATAATTGAATCAAAAGTGTAGCATTGATCATAAAAATTTGTCAAACCTGCCTTCCAACCAAACTTTTGTATAAACCAAAATCTACCTTTTGGTTTCCAAATTGATGTATTGCTGATATTGCAGTGAATATTGAACATCATACTTCAAACTTTAAAAGTAGCTTAAAGGTACTATGTCCCTTTTGCAGCCAACCTCAAATTCTGTAGAACTTTGCAGGAATTATGTCCTATCTGTGAAATTTAAACGTTAGCAGTGTCCTCATATTCAAATTATGCAAGGAAACCTGTTTACTTGCTAGACTTCACTGTCAGACACTATTGAGTGACTGACTGGCTTTTTGTCTTCTTTGGTAATAACATACATGAAAAGAGTTGTAAAGGGTACATGAGCATTTGTCTACATCAATAACCCACTTCTTGTGATGGCCAAGATTAAACTGATTGAATCTTTGCGCAGCATAAAAGGTATGACCATTCGGTACAATTGTCTGAAAATCAAGACTATTACTTTTGGGCTCTATAGCCTTAAAGTCGATTTGACAACTAATAGTCGTTATTTTCCCACTTGAAGACATTTTCAAGCCCCACCTCATTTAGGGAAGTTCTAAATTAGTATTATCTTTCAAATGCAGTTGGAATTTAACTTTTTCATTTTTTGGCATTTAATGGGACATAGTACCTTTAATAAAGAAATTATTTATAATTCAGCACCAGTTATTGAATTCAATTTGATGTTGGAATATATGTGGAATTGAATTTGTTTACAATGGTTCTTGTAACTTGATATTAGGCCTCTTGCTGTGATCAATGCTACTACCTGTTGAGTTTGCACTTTAGTACCCAGAAAGTTTATGAAAATTCAAAAGGGTTTCCCCCAAATATCCTTTTTGTGTGTGTCTGTGTGGTAATTTATCACTGTATATGTGTGGAGTCTGCCCATGATTTATTTGTGTGCAGTGGAATTATGTGACGATTAAAAAAAATATATATATATTTTTAGACATTTTGAAGTTAGGATCTCACTCACAAGACAACTCCATTAACAAAGTTTATTTGGATTTTGTTGTTGTTGTCAAACACAATATGCATTTTGATTAGTGTATGAAAGATAATCCTACATAATATCTATATGTAAATCTTGTGTGAAACAAGTTGCCCTCTTCATTTTAATTTTTTGCAGTATGCTCCCTGCTATGTGCTTGCAGTATAATGTTCCCTTTTTAAGATATGCTGTGTCACTGTGTGTATTTGTTTGAAACAAGCTTCTATAGTGAACTGAGCTACAAACCAAATATTTTATCACGTTCAATTTCATTTAATAGTTTTTGTAATTCCAAATTGCTAGACATTGCTGTTTGTGCACTCTTATTTCACAAGATTAAATTTAAAAAAAAAACAGATTAGATTTATTAGCCAAGCCTTATGGGTTGCTTTTACATGACCACTTTCATAGAAAAGATATGTTGAGCTGTATATGCATCCTTGATCTACAATGTATATATCCTAAAACACAGATCAGTGAGTATTATATGCACAAGGGTATTTGTACACAACAATTTTGTTGGGTACATATACCTCCCTTCCGCCTCAATCCCCAGCATTTAAAAAAAAAAATCATCTTTATTTTGGCCATATTGTCACAACAAGGTGATTTTAGATAATATAGTCAAATCTTCCTGTACTTCACAACACAACAGTAGCAACAGTATTGAAACAAAAACAAATAATAAAATACATGCAACAATCGCGGCCGTGGGTTTTTAATGAAAATTTCCCCTCCACAAGCGAGTATTGTTACAATATTGTTTCAAACCGTATACATGAAGGTTCATAAGAAAATTGAAAAGATTTCTAGTGATAGGACTCCTTCTTTATCTTCTCTCTGCAGGTCGACAAGCACATGCCTCTTCATCTGAGACGGAAGCTGAAGCCTGCGAGGTCCATACCTCGTAACTTTGAGATGATGCCCCCTACTGGTATGCTGCTGCCAGGTCAAAGGGTCAATGTACAGGTCAAGTTCATGCCTACAGAAGAGGTCAGTCAAATTTGTAGCCTTATTGTTTGATTATTACATTTATCTTTACCAAAAAAAGATTTGCTGTTTTTGTATTTATAGGAAGCAATGATATGTTACGAAAGATAACATTGATACAGTCAAACCTGTCTATAGCGACTGCCGAAGGGAAACACGAAAAGTGGTCTTTGTAGACAGGTTCCTTAACTACATGTTTCAATGAAAAACCTTTTTCAAGGGAAACAAAAAATGTTGTCTTTGTAAAGCAGGTTTGACTGTATTATAATTCATAGCAAATTTTGATAAAAGGTGAATACAGCTAAAGGAAGGACTAGAGCTAAAGCAAGTATTATGTGTAGATTTTGATATAGATTCTCTAGGTAGACGATGTTATGCAAATGCTTACAATCATCCACATCTCACCTCTTGACCCTAGAAACTCTACTCTGAGCGTATCTCCCTGCGCATCAACCAGAGCAGCCAGCGCCTGACCATGATGGCCACCGGCATCGGCCTGGAGCCACGGCTGGAGCTCAGTCAATCGCTGCTGGAGTTTGGACCCATCCTACCACACAGCGCAGGAGATGAGAAGGAAGTGATCGTCAAGAACCCCTGCACCTTCCCCATTGAGTTCTACTCCTTAGAGTTTGATAAGCAGTATCTGACTGAGGAGAAGGTGAGAGACGACCAAGAGATCTATTTCGAACTGAATGTTTCATGCATCATATATTACATTGAGGGAAAACTTGATGCCAGTTGGGTATTACAGCTTCTCTTAAGTTCTGGTGATGTCATTCTGATTTCTTTTTCTTATCCATTAAAGGTACTATGTCCCTTTTGCAGCCAACCTCAAATACTGTAGAACTTTGCAGGAATTATGAATATGTCATGTATGTCCTATCTGTGAAATTTAAACATTAGCAGTGTCCTCATATTCAAATTATGCAAGGAAAACCGTTAACTTGCTAGACTTCACTGTCAGACACTATTGAGTGACTGACTGGCTTTTTTTCTTCTTTGTTAATCACATACATGAAAAGAGTTGTAAAGGGTACATGATCATTTGTCTATATCAATAACCCACTTCTTGTGATAGCCAAGATTAAACTGATTGAATCTTTGTGCAGCATAAAAGGTATGACCATTCGGTACAATTGTCTGAAAATCAAGACTATTACTTTTGGGCTCTATAGCCCTAAAGTCGATTTGACAACTGATAGTCGTTATTTTCCCACTTGAAGACATTTTCAAGCCCCACCTTTTTTAGGGAAGTTCTAAATTAGTATTATCTTTCAAATGCAGTTGGAATTTAACTTTTTCATTTTTTGGCCTGCAAATGGGACATAGTCCCTTTAAACTGAAGATGGGTTGTTGGGACCAGTCAAAGGTAATTAAACTGAGAGAAACATGCTGAAAATTATGTCATTAAAAGCAACTAGTCTTATATTTGTAGATATTTGAAGGTGTGTTATACATTTTGTAAAGATAGAGGAAAAGAGAAAGGCAGAGACTACAGAGTTATGCAGAATGTTCCATCGTGGTAGAGTGTGGGAAGGGATAGGAAGGTATCACAGCAACCAAGCTTTCTTCTCAGAGATACATAATATCTGACAATAATGAACACAAAGAAACTAATACATGGCTCTCTTTATTCCTATAACCTTTTCCAGATGCTGCGCCTTATGAAGGACTATGACGAACACGGCACCCTGCTCCTGCCTCCTCGTATTCAAGGCGAGAGGCTCCCTTCAGAGATCCTGGAGTTCTACGAGGAGCAAAAGAGACGTCTGGAGGAGGAGGAGGAGAAGGAGAAAGCCAAGGTGGAGGCAGAGCTGGCAGCCAGAGCTACGGCTGCTGCTGCTATAGAGGGAATGAAAGGAGAAGGTAAGGTTCTTGGTTGTTGTATTGCCACAATGAACTTTTCTTTGGTGGTCATGCACCTGTAAAGAATGATCACCAGCCATACAAGTATCATTGCACAGTTGGAGTAACTCTAGGTTTTGAGAGCAAGAGTTAAATTAAGACTATATTTATACATACCAATAATTATAATCTTCTTTTATGATTAAAAAAAAAAAATCTATTGCTTCGTCATTCGGAAGAGACTTTAAAGCCCCACTGTACTACTTGTAGCTAATTGCTCCCTCTGTGTAGAAAACAATGCCTAAGTGGTGCCCGTTGGTCCCCCATGATCCTCTTTTTCTTATGTTAATTGAGAGCTGAGTTGATGAGATAACCACCTGTCGGTGACCAAGGTGGGTGGTCTAAGCCCTCCTGGCCAAACTAGTACAGACATGCTTTAACGAGTAGGCTGATTGCATGATCAATGACATATTGTACATTCGCACTCCCGTTCTGTCTTTTTGTGCATGTAGTCTTGTTAAATAGACATCAATTGATCAATCACTAACCAGGAGTCTGATTTCCTTTATTACTAGGAGGTGAGGAGGGCCAGACTGCATCCCAAGCTCAAGGTGCATCAGCAGCAGCAGGAGGCGTTGCATTCACCCAGCCATCTACCACCGGTGCTGCAGAGGATGGCACGGGACAGGATGGAGAGAAGGACAAGACAGAGGGGAACAAACAGGACGAGGATGACACACAAGGTTCGATGATGTACTTCAAATTACAAATAACTTCATGTTTCAATAATTTTGTCACTGGTGTAGGCATTCTTACAAAATATTATTTTGGGTGACATTATTCCTCCCCCTCATAGAAATAGGTAAGGTCTACACCATGCTATTATCCCTTAGTCTAGTCTTAAACAGCATCTACCTGATTTAAAATTCTCAATGAAACGTTCTGTTCTTAGACGTAGGTAACTTTTTAATGGCCATGTAATTCCAACCTACCCTACAAGATTCAATTTCCATTCTGTTTTCCTCTCTCCTTTTTAGAAAACAATTTTGATTACTTTGCCTTTTTGTCCTTCTTTTAATCTTACTTATAATTTATTTTCGATTTCTCCCCTATACAGACAAAAAAGACTCTGCCAGCACCGTTGGAGTTGGTGAGCTGATCGAGATCACCCCTGTCTCTGCATCCATCGCAAGGCACCTTGGCATTGACCTGTCCCCAGAGGGCAAGGCTGCCATGAGGCGTAGAGGGCTGGCCTTGGTGGTCCATGGAGCACCTCTCGCTGGTAAGGATCTCTACAAGTTCCCATGACTTTCCCAGTTATTTATCTCAAGTGCAGTTGCTATAAGAATGTATTTTTTAAATATTTGCCTCTCTTGACCCAGATGGAGCGAAACAGGCACTTTTTTGTGGAAATAGTCATATTCCGGCCTTCAAATTGTATAGATGCTCTAATAATACATGGTCTAACCATCACTTTGATTTTCTTTAAATATGAAACTTTCAGGCCCCGTCATATAAAGAGTAGTGATTGATCCAAATCAATCGCAAAAAAGGTTGCGATTAATATCAACTCTTTATAAGAGGGGGCCCAGATCGGAAAGCGTAGGTGAAATATATCAGTTGTCTGTAGATCAAATCTTTCTTACGACGTATGACTCAGAAATAAGTTAAACTTTTTTCAGAACTAATCTAAATTTTTAAAATCACAACAGCTCATCTTAAAATTGAAACTGATTTGATATTAGAACTGTCTATTTGTCCTTAAATCAGATGTAAAACTAATCATATCAAGTGACTATGCCATCATTTTAATTTTCCATCAACAGGCAAGACGACCACATCTATCGCCTTGGCCAAACACTACGAGGCTGCCCTTCTGACTGTGGACAGCGTGGTACTGGATGCCATCTCTAACGGCAACACCCCAGCCGGCTTGAAGGCCAGGGAGAGGTGTGCCATAATGGCCCGAACCCAGCTGGCCAGGGAAGGGGATGGCATTGAGGCCCAGGCCCAGGGTACGGGCGGGGCTCTCAGCATGGAGGCAGTCTATCAGCACACACAGGGACTTGGTGCTGCCTCAGGTACGACTGTCACAGATCAATTCCTTGATTGTGAAGAAAGTAAATGGTTTTGGAACTGTGGAAAAAGAAAACTCATTGCTATGTGCAAATCTGTAATGAAGTCGATAGTTATTGAGCATTTCAGAATCTAGGTTAGGCTTCTTTGAGAAAGGTAGAATGTAGGCAATTTTGAGCTCAGAGGGTACATGGGCCTAATCAATACTCAAATTAACAGTCTGTAAAATAAAAGAAACAATCGATAAAGAGCAGCCCTTGATGAAAATAGTGTAGACAGGGTCTAGTTGACCTGATTTCTCTGGACCTTGTCTACCCAGCAGTGCTTGGATCTCATCTAGTGTGGTAGGTTGGATCATCTCAAGGGACGATGAAGTGAGAGGATCGTCTGGAGTCAGACTGTCTTGAGTATTATGAATCTGTGAGTGGAAGAACTGAATAAAACTTTAGGCCAACACCTCACTGTTGACATGTGAGCTCTGTTTAGGGTTCAGCAGACGGTTAGCTATAGAAAACAGTTTCTTGGAGTCATTCCTGGACGACCGATAGTTTATTAAAGCGTTTTCTTCACCCAAACTTTTCTTAATATCTATGTTGAATGCACTGAAACTATTGTGCTAAAGCCTCAGTTTCATTTGTTTTTAATAGCTTCTGTGATGGGCGGCGCCCATTCTGTCATCAGTAACCGCAAGACCAGCACCATCTCCGGCCACAAGCCTGCGCACAGCATGGTAGCGGGCGAGGATGGAGCCCCAGCCCCGCCCCCGCCCAAAGCCGAGAAGGCGGACAAGAAGGACAAGAAGGGGGCTAAGCAGGAGGGTGATACCACCACCCAGCTGTCCAGCAGCCCCCCTCCGGCCGCGCCCATTGCTAGAAGGTTGAGTGTGAGTGCTAGCGTGGCTGGGGAGGAGGGGTTGATGAGCTGTATCTTACCTGAGGGACTGCTGGCTGAGATCCTGGCTGAACGTATGCAGGTGAGAACCGGGATGCCCCTCTACATGAAGCAATCTAATTTACACAAACATTTGATTTACATGTTTGTGTTGTTGAAATTGTGTAATAATTAATACACATTTATGTATCATTTGAATAATTTCATAGCATTTAAATAACAAACTGACAAGGAGTTGTTACCATGATACAAAAAGCAATTGTTTCAACCGGTTGGAGAGGATTTTATTTTGGTATTACATTCATCTCCATGGACTCTGGTCCAAGTTATCTTGTTCTTATCTATCATGGTTACAGTGTTGTGTGCTCTCTTGATTAGCAGACCAAGATGTCCAACAATGTTGAAAACAACAGCTGAAGAAAGCATTTAGATGATGTCAAGCTGGAATATATTGAAAAAACTTTAGAAATAGCATTGCTGGTCTTGTGAAGTGGCTTATGTCTTTGCTTTAACAAAATGTGCTAGTTTGTGAAACCTTTGAGAAACTGGCATTTAGATGATGTCAAAATGAAATATCTTTAAAAAACTATAACAATAGCGTTGCTGGTCTAATGAAGTGGCTTATGTCTTTGCTTTAATAAAATGTGCTAGTTTGTGAAACCTTTGAGAAAACTGGCATTTTCATTCAATTTGTGTTTTTATTATTTCAATTTCATTCAGTTGAACGACTGTCACAAGGGTGTGGTCTTTGATGGCTTGGAGACACTCTTCAGTCCTAACCAGACTGCTACGGCAAAGGCTCTCCTTGGGGCTTTCAACAACAGGAAGTACATCTACTTTGTCACCCTGAAGCTTGACCAGGTGGTCCTACAGGCCAGGGAGAAGAGACTACAAGAGGAGAAAGGTAAACTCAACTGTAGTTTCATATATATATCAATATTTTGGAATGGGTATATATCTTCTAATAAAAAAAAGAGTTTGTAGAAGATGGTTTTGATTGCTTCTATCACATTCTCCTATCACATTCTCCTGAAAACTCATTGATAGAAGAAGTCGACAGAATCAATTTTTAAATTTCCACCATTGGTATTATGTTTTATTTCAAGGTAAAACCCTTATGTGAAGGATTTATAACCCAACTACTTTGAAGAAAAAAAACTAATCCAACCAACAAATTTTTCCATTATGGTTTCTTTCTTTTCTGTTAACTTTTCTGTAAGGCTTTAAAATTGCAGCGGAAATCAACTTGTCCAAATATCCCCACCGTACATGACAATTGATTTGATTTGATTTGATTTGATTTGTTTTAGTGTCCAGATAAAAGGAATTTTTTTTTCTTCACATGGTGCTTCAATTCCCATGTATGCTTCATGAACAAGAGTTGTAGACAGTTTCTCTGAATGTGAGTTTCACTATCAGAATCCAACCTTACCTTTCATGATCAATCCCTGTTGATTCACCCCACCTTGCAGATGAACGTGAGAGGGAGGAAGAAGAGGAGGAGAGGCAGAGGTTAGAGGAGATGTCTGAGGATGAATACGATGCCCTGACTGAGGAAGAGAGAGCTGCCATCGATCGGAAGAGACTCAAGACCAAGAAAGAGAGGCTCCACAAGAAGTGAGCAACCTGTCATCTTATTCGTTCATTTTTTCCAAACTTATTTGCATTCTGATGAAAATCATAGAAATACTAGCAAGAAGCCTCAGTGATGAAGGGTGATTTATGGAAATAATTATAATCTACAATACTTCTGTTTTTGGAAGACAGTTATTATACATAGACCTTTATCTCTCTCTCCATTTCTAAAGTTCTTACAATAATAAAGTTGATAATAATATTCCGCTTTTATATAGCGCTTAACACATAATGTCTCTAAGCGCTTTACAGATATATCATTACCCCGGTCATCAGATTCAGGCTTGCCCGCACACAATGTATGCACATTCTCCACTCCCTGGGTAGCATTCCAGCCAGGCATCATTTTACAGATGCTCACAATGCTGAGCAAACTACATAAGATTTTAATCAGTGCTTTGTACAATGTGACTGAAGTCATCTTTATTAGCTACTTTATGAGCTAATACTGCATTTGGTCAGCAGGGCTTTAGTATGAGGATTGGAGCATTTTGTTCATTTTGCTTGTGTTCCAGATTTGATATCTAATATTGATAATTTTGGAAAATATTATTATTTCAGAGAAATGGTGGAGCGTCTTGAGAGGGAACGAAAGGAGAGGGAGCTTCATGCCTTGATGGAGGAGAAGAAACTGGAAGATGATAAGTAAGTCCAGGGTCCCTTCTTTATACAAAGATTTACGATTGATCCAAATCAATCGTAAGTTTGCAGTCTATCTCTTATGTACATAGCTGCAATTGATATCAACTCTTTGTAAGAAGGGGCCAAGAAATCTTCAAATATGATTATAAAAATATACTCATGCATGTATTGTTTCTGTTCCACTCCTCTACTGGGAAACTAGAAATAATTTAATGATTGATTTCGTGGCAAATATTTGATACTTCCTATGCAAAAGGAAATAGTATGACTAATTGATAGTATACTGTAATCATAGTAGCTCTGTTAGATCTGGCGGTATCATTGATACAATTTTCATCATAAAAAAGCCCATATATAATGCATACATCTTTAAAAAAAGTTTCATACCACTAGACAGAGTCGCATTGCATGCATCAATTTTTGCACAGAGATCAAACTTCATTTTTTTTTCATTCTATATTCCTCACAGAGGCAAGAAGAAGAAGGGTGCCAAACCAGGAGACAAGGATAAGGATAGCACCAAGGGAGGACCAAGTGGAACCGCCCAGGCTAAGAAGGGACAGGATGGCAAGGTAGCCATGTCCTCCAGCCAGGCAACCATCAGGAAGGGGCCCCCTGACCCAACAGCTCCATCAGACCACGCCTTGAAAGGGGTGCAGTCCGTTGCCACGGATAGACCAGAGTCACATGGTACAGCAGGCAGTGATCAGCCCCAAGATGAGGGAACAAAGTAAGTGAATGTTGATGAAGATAGTCGTGGAGGTGGTGGTGGTGGTGGTGGTGGTGGTGGTGATGATGATGAGGATGATGATGATGGTGGTGGTGGTTATTGTGGTGATGCTGATGATGATGATGGTGGTGGTGGTGATGGTGGCATACCTGCCAACCCTTCCGAATAATCTGTAAATTTCAGTTTTTCTGGATTTTTTTCTGGACACCAAAATCTGGAATATTTTTTGGGGTTGCTTAAGCCAAATTAAGCTTGTTTTATCATGTGCCGCGATGTGAGAGTTCACGTATTGCGTGCGTTAAAGGGCTGCATGATTGAGCAGCGAATTTGTATTTGCTTTTTTACACAGATTTACTGTGTATTGCCAGTTACACTGCCGCTGCATGTGCGAACGTCTGTTAAGGGTACAGATTTCTTATTTTCAAAGACATACCGTGCTAAAAATTCTTAATTCTCATTTTCAAATGTTGGCAGGTATGTTACTGATGGTGGTGGTCTGGTGATTATTGTGGTGATGATAATGTTGATGATTGTGAAAATGATGGTGATGATGACGATGATGATGATGAGGAGGAGAAAAATGATGATGATGATGACAATGATACTGATGATATGAGGTTTATGATGACATGTGAGGATAAAGATGGTGATGGCAATAATTTTCCGATGATGATCACTTTTGTGATGACAAAATGTATTGATAATCGGGTCAAAGTTATCATGAAGTTGCTTTGCTGGTTATCTCCTTCATTAGGAAAAAGAAGAAGGAGAAGGGCCGTCCCATTTCCAATGAGGTGGCGGTAGAGCCTGAGGTTGAAAGAGACCCTGCTAAGGAAGCTGAGATGTATCTGACTTGTCGCTTCAAGGCCTTTGAGCATGGCATGAAGGACATTGACAAGATGCTGGCACGATGGGAAAGGACCACAGGTGAGTTGTTTAATACAGCGATGGAATTAAAATTGAATGAAAGGAATTATTTACATTATCATAGATCTAAGTTATTGAAGAAATAAGAAAATTCCTGCTGATAATAGAATTCAAAGATTGTTATTAACATGTACAAAGAAGACATGAAGTCGTCCGAACTACTTTTAAATTGTTTAGAATGGTGTGGAAGTTAAGTGGAATGAAAGGAAATAATATAGCATAAAGATTCTTTTTACAGGAACTTATATGAAATAGGAGGGAATAGGAATGGAATAAAAAGGAATGGGGTTGAAATAAATAGAATGGATTTTTAATCAAATTAGATAGAATGAAATGGAAGTAGAGGTTGAAAATGGAAAGGAAAATTTGAATTGCTAGGAAAAGAATGGAAAGGGTATGGGTGGAATGAAATTGAATTGAGAATGAGAGAGAGTACAAAGTGCTGCATCTAAAAGAGATTTTATATTTGGAACTCAAAGATAGAAACAAATAGCACATGGCAATTACTATTCACATATTGAATTTACATAATGAAGCTTAATATTTATGAGCAACTTCATTTTATAAAATGGAAGCCAATTAGAAACAAATCTCCAATCTCATTCATTCTCCACATTCCTTCATGCACCCTCAGGTCAGATTGTCCCAGACGCATCTGGTGATGACCTGGAAGCAGAAGAGACCCCTGCCCATCCTCCTTCAGGCAGGAAGGGCAAGACCAAAGCAGAGAAGGAGAAAGAGAAGGAGCGAGAGAGGGAACGACAGGAGAGGGAGAGGCTTGAGAGGGAGAAGGCCGAAAAGGTAAGGGTTTCTTGTTTGCCCTTTTAAAATCTGTTTCTGTTATGGTATTACTAAGCATGAAATAAATCTTGACAAAGGCAAATGTCAATACACATTGAAATGTATCATACAGTACTTTATGATATAAAGGGTCACAATAATCAGCTAATATGGTTTTCATCTGTTTTATACAAACAACTTTTTGGGTGCTCATCACCACATTTTCAAAAATCTGTTGCAGCAGGAAAAAAAAATCTAAAAAATATTCTCATGCATAGGAGTTGAACTGTTAGTGTATGAATAAACAATGTTGTATGTGTGTAGACAAATATTGCTGTGCAAGTATGGGTAGGTCCAAATTTATATGGAACTTATAACAGACTTGACATAGGGAAATGGCAGTTATTTGCATGTATGTTATCCAGTTGTCTTAATTTGACGGGCATTTGCTAAAGAATAAGAAGAATGCACTAGACAATTAACTTGTTAAACCAGAGCTTTCAGGGGCCTTTAATATTAAAACACTGTCTGCTGATAAGATAATCCCTGATAATCCCTGCCATTGTTTACTTTGACATCGATCCTCTTACTTAGGCTGCAGCCGAGTCTGGAGAACAAGGAGAGACCAAGGAGGGTGAAGGAGAAGGCAAGGAAGGAGAGGAGAAGGAGCAGCTCGGAGTACCTAACATCGTCATCGATGCCAGCGAGCCTGATGACATGATGGGTCAGAAGGTCCTAGATATTGGACAGTTGCCATCCTGCCAGGAGGTGAGATGGGTTTGATATTTTGAGGATTGCTAGAGATAAGTTATGGTTTGACTTTGGCAGTTTCCTTGATGCCTGGAGCAACTATTAAAAGTTTATCATTGAATTATCAAAAGAGAAAAATAAAAGGAAGCAAAAATACATGCTATTAAGTTTCCATTGAAATGCTAGTAAAGTATCACTGGCAGATTCAAAGATTAAATACTGATTAATTAAGCCTGTTAGCGATCCTTGTCATTGATGGATAAAAATGATGTACAATAATCAAACATGCACATTTTCATATAAAAAATACACTTTAATGACTACAGTCATTTAATGTGTATCTGTGCCATACGGAGTCAAAGAAATAGTTATAACTAGTTGCAAATAGGGGTTCAGAATAAACTTTAATGAATTTCACAAAACTCTTTGGTTCCAGGTCTTGGATGGTCTTGGTCTAGGACCTAGTGGTCCACCCATCCCACCTCCAGCATCATTTTCAGTCATCCCCTACCCTGTCAAGCGGAAGCCACCCCTTGGCTTCGACCCTATGGGGCACTACTACTTTGTGGCCAATGGACCCGATGATCCGTGAGTATCCATTGAGTGATTTCAAGTTGGGTGTTAGTGTTAGTGTTTAGAGCATTCGAGAGCTCTTAAATCGAGCGAAAAATTTGCTGATGAAACTAAGAGCCCGATACCGATATCAAAATCGATAGCTTAACACCAGCCGTGACGTCATCACATTCTTGATTTCATGACGATGATTTTAAAATAGTACATCAAAACTAAAGATATCATGAAAAGTACAGAATAAATTTACACCTATTCTTCTTGTCTTACAAAAGAATATATATTACCTGATTCACATATTTTAATTTGATCGTCAGACAATAAATTGGCGTCCTTCATGCGCTGACTGTGTGCGGGTACAACACTAATACCGAACTGGAAATCAACATTTGCTTAATCCCTAGGGGCTAGTGTTAGTGAATAGGACATTTGTACGTAAAATATGAACACCAGCCACAAAGGTTGGTTCAGCAGATGACAATTTTGCAAAATCGATAACACTAGCTACCGGAAGTTGAGGATATTCAGAGGTCAAAGCCTTAACACCAGCTGATTTCCATTTCAGTGTTTAGGCTGGTGTTAGTGTTTATTAAACACTAACACCAGCATTAAACACCCAACTTGAAATCACTCATTGTTACCTTTACAAATCTTAACGATTCTAACATAATGCTTGTCTCATATGAGAGTAAATGTGAGTTTGGTTGTTCAGTGAATTTGAGTCCCAATAATATTTCATTAACTAGTTATCATTATGCTAGTCCAAACAATCCATCTACTGCATGATAAGCAAATAACGGTAGCTTTGTCACTTTCTCTCAATTGATGTATATTTTCATTTTCATTGCAGAAACTCTTTGAGATTAGATTTATTTTCAATGTTCAATGACACCTGTTCATATGTTTCATCTGTACATGGTTTAGTAATATTGGACAAGAAGAGAAACCCAAAGAACTTGATGGAGATCTAGAGGCTGGCACACCAGACAAAGGAAACACCAAGGTAAGAATAGTAGTAATAATAATAATAATAACATTTCATTTTTAAAGCGCCTTTTCATCAGATACAAAGCGCATAAAAAGAAAGTACTTACAAACAAATCAAAAGAAAATTTTCATACGAAGCTTACATTGATATAAAAAAAAGAGGAATATTAAGAGAAATTAGAAAAGATGTATTTTCAGACACCTCTTGAAAGCTGCAAGAGTATGGAAATCCTTTAGAACAGGGGGTAAAAGAGTTCCAGGTTTTGGGGTCCGTACCCGAAGCTGTATATACCATATCAAAAAAATATGAATATGAATAATAGTAACAAATTATAAAGCACTTAATACTAATGTTTCTAAGCACTGCACAATCATTACCCTGGCATTAGCCGACCTACCCTGATAAGGCACTTTGGCAAATGCCTTCTTATCGGGTACCTATCAATGCCTCATAATGTCACTTCAGTCAATAGGAACTGTCTTTTGTATACCCCATTACATGTTTCAGAGTGCAATAGGCCATTTTCATAATGTAACCAAATCCTTGATAGCAATGATTTAATTCACCTGTTACAAATAATTGTATTTCAATAGTCAGAATGCAAATTGCATATATATTATGTGTTGTCCTACCAGGCAAAAATTAATATGTGCAATTCGAATTCTGACTATTGATATACATTTATATTCATTACAGGTGAATGGATTGATTTGTTTCAAGGTGATTCACAAAGACATATGCATCAATTTGGTTATATTACAAAAATGATCTTTAATTCCCACATTACCACAAAAATGAAACATTCTTCAATATGAAAAGTACCTTCCCTTATACTCCTCCAGGATGACTTCTCTACCCCTACCGGTAGAAAGGGAGGCAAGGACAAGCTCAGGCCTGGCGCTGAGAGCACTGGGTCACGCCGCCGCTCAGCCAAGGGTTCTCGTAACCGCAAAGGGTCGGTCAGCGTCGCCTCTCCGCCCCCAGGAACCACCACACCAGGGTCAGACTTTGATGGCCAGAGCAGTACCACAGGAGATATGAACCTACATGACTCCAAGAATGTCAGGTGAGGCCATATGGTTCATTTGAACAATGTTTTAGTCTGAGATTATCTTCGCCTGGCAGATCAGAAACACTTTCCAACAGGACAGTATTCTCAGAATTAATGAGATTTGCTTCATATGTGTTTTTAACTAAATCAATATACCATACTCTCAATTGTATATGCTGGCTTTCTACATCATACATGTATGTATCAATTTTCTTTATGATATTTTGTCATTTTCATAAAAACATTTCCTAGATAATGTACAGAAGCCATACTTGGAAGACCTTTGGGATATCTATAATAATAATACGCTAAGGCTCCGCGGGGGGCGCGACGTCTCCGCGAGCCTTTGTATTCTATTGTTTTTTAATGAGATCGCCGACCGAAGTTGGTGCAGCTATCTCCTCCTGAACCCTCCCCTCGGGGTACCCGTGCCCGGTGCCATCGTCCGCGGGAGAGTCTACTCTGTGGAATTGGCTATACTCCGCCCGAGGTCCTCCTCCGTGTCGACGTCCAGGGCGAAAACAGACGCGATATGCATAATGCAGGATATGCGTGACGACAGAGATACCTCATGGATATTCAACATTACATCCGTAGACACACGACCGATGACTATCCGTATAAAATTGTATACACAAAAATCGGTCGTAAAAAAACTCGAACCATATTCCATACCTTACCTGGCTTACCATGTCGCACGCAAGTACGCCAAAACACGTACATTTTCGCAGTTGCGAGATCGAGACGGAGCGTAGGGCTCGAGTTTTTGGCGGTCGATTTTGTTTTGGTAGAAGCTGAATCTAGACCATGAACCACTAAACATCGCGAAACTGCAATCAATTTCCATCACGAATTCACGATTGCTGCAATATTATAAAGTTTCCATAAATAGAGGTATGAAATTAAAGCCTATTTTGTGATGTTCTCGCCATGTTTACGTAATTTTGATAATCATTTCTTCAAAGTAAAGAAAATCAGACAAAATCACCGTAACTGACATGCATACAATACAGTGCATTGCCACTGTGTAGTGTGCTGCTGCTGCTGCTGCTGCTGCTACTACTACTGCTACTACTACTGCTGCTGCTGCTGCTCGTAGTGAGATGAGCTGAGTTGCAGTTAACTCCAGGAAGCTCCAATACCGGCAGCGCAGGCGTTCTGACGCCTGCGGCGCCGGTGTTGAAGTTTCCTGGAGTTGCGCTGCAGTTATGCAGCAGTGTGTGAGTTGAATTCGAGTCGAAGAGATTTGACACTTTGAAATTGTTATCTGTTGGTTTGCATCATTATTGCCGCGATTTCAATATAGTTTCGTGAATAGATTTACGAAACCTGAGCTTAGAATTAGTAAAAGTATTACTAGACTCTAATGTAGCTACGTTTTTAAAAGACTGTTTGATTTTCTTGTGAAAATTTTACTTTGAAAAATGATTATCGGAATTCATGGCCAGAAATAATGACTATCTAGGGTCTATTATGTTACAGTTCTTGCATCAAATCAATGCATGAAAATTAAGTTATTGAACTAGAAAAAGGGGTTTCTTTTTTAATAGGCAATTATGAAGCAGGAAGCCCGAAACATTAGCCTACTAAACAAATCTCAACAAACTGTAGGCTTATCCTTTGATGAATTAATGAAAACGTAGCCCCAGAAAAAAGAGCCCCCGAAAGTTGAAAAAGTAGCCCCACCGAAAATTTACAAAAAATTTGAAATGGAGCCCCCGAAATGAAAAACTTAGTTTTTTGCCTGTTCCAGTGGCTGAAAGAATAACTACCGGTACAGTTGGATTGTTTTTTTATTTGATATAAGGCCAAATTAAAAAAAAAACATGCTTATAGCGTCCTGTTTTTTCAAAAAATGGGAAGGAGGAGGCCCTTTTTTTTTCTTTCAAAATGGCCGCTCCGTACATTTTTCCTGACATTCGGGCTATTTTTAAAGATGGCGGCCGACAATTTTTTTTTTTTTTTTTTAAATCAGAAATACATTTTAGCAGTGCTTTTCATGTTTTTTTTCTTTCAAAAAAAAAAAAATAAATAAATAAAAAAAAAAATAGGAGGCGGCCCCCAAAAAGGAAGTGGGCGGGGATGCTGTTTTTTTCTTTCATAAAATTTTTTTTTTTTTTTAAATTAAAAAAATTTCAAAAAAAAAAAAAAAGAGGAGGCGGCCCCCAAAAAGGAAGCGGGCGGGGACGCTTAACATGTATATTTTTTAATGGCCTGAATGGCAAAGAAAGTTCTTGGTGGTTTTAATTTAGACAGTCTCTATACTATTTACACCCCCCGCCCCCCTCTAGAATCCCGCGGATTTCCGCGGGTCCTGCTAGTATTGAATAATAGCGTTTAAGAATACACATCAAGGAAAGTTTATTGAGTAAAGACTACCTAGGGGAAACAGAAAAGCTGTCTTTGGAGACAATAATATGATAGGTGAAAATAATGTAGTATATAGGTGATTTTTATAAAAGCAGATCTGAATGTACCCATCTTGGTAAAGATATATGCCAACAACTATTAAGATAGATTAAATGATGTAACCCTCAAAATATTCTTCCGATCCAGACTCTCCATCTTCAGATGGACCGTACCAGCCGAGGGAGAGGTCACCCTCAAGCTACGCTTCCAGTCTGACGAACTAGGCCAGTTTGACCAGACGCTCAACTATGAGATCGTTGGCACCAGGAGGCGCTATCAACTCTTTTGCAGGGGTGTCTGTTCCTTCCCCAACATCAGCAGAGAACCAAGGTAAGAACAGCTAGGGCCCCATTTCACAAACTTGTCATTAGTGACAAATGACAGTCTTTGTTATAAGCTACTGAAATCCCTGCTTCTGATTGGTTGTCAGCAGATTTGTCACTGATTTTTGTAATTTGTCATTGAAAAAAGGCTTTGTGAAACCGGTCCCTGATTTGAAGGGTTGAAGGCACTGTTTGGAGAAGAAAAAAAAAAACAGAAACATTTGCATATCTTGAACTTGCAGCAGATTATTCATGTATTTTGCTTATAGAGAAAACAATAATTAAGAGATGCCGTAAAGTGTGTGTGCAGCGCTTTGTAACCGCAAGGAAAAGGCGATATATCAAATATCTTTTGGATTGGATTGGATGGGATAAAAAATGCTATTTAGATGTTTACCTCTGGAATAATTTTGTTGGTGATACTTGCGTTTCTGTCCCATAGGAAATCCATTATTCTTCATTTGAGTTAGGCCCTTAATCGGCCTAACAAAAAGCAAGATGGGAAGGGAAACGTGGGGAAATATTTCAATAATAATATGAATACATTCATCATGATACTATGAAGTCTTCCCAAGTCTGCATTATCAAGCTTTTTTATGTCTTTACAAAATGTATTCATTCTTGAAGTTGCTGTCTACATGCATATCTACATTGCCTACTATCTCCAAGAGGTGAACAGGAACACGCTATATTTCGTTAATACACTATAGTTTGTTTATTGTGACTATTTCTACTGTGTACGTGGTTTTAACCTGTCCATATTACCCCACCAGGATTGTGTTTCCCCACCGCAAGAAGAGCAAGAAGGCAGATGAGATAGTCCACAAGAAGTACATTCTGAGTACCGAGATCCTTCAGATGGGACCTCTGCTGGCGGGTAAGACCAGGGACCGTTACAAGGAGGGCAAGTACCCTGAGAACATGGAGAAACTGACCATCAGCAACACGTCCCCGCTGGAGGCTGAGATGACCTTCTGCTTCCAGCACGATGGTAACGGAGCGACCTTCTTGCTCGATCCTCCCAACATGGTGCTCAAGCCCAGCCAGACACAGGTAGGTATCCTCTGTGAATGTTTCATCATACTTGTGTCGTGATAAACTATGACTGGTCGTAATGTATCTTGTTGTATGCTTGTAAAAATGAGATTTGCATTTTCCATGTTTTTCTGACGATGGAGTCGAGTTGTGAATTTGAATAATAGACCTTCATACTACCTTATTCTTACGGAGACCCAATATTTGCTTTAATTAGCGACATATTACATCAAAGGTTTAGTTGGTTAGGGCTTGGGTTGCCATTGGGTTTTAGGTTTGATATAGTTTCATATGTGAATAAATCCTAAACAGGTTCTTTTCCTTTTTTTCTCTCTCTCTCTCATTTATTTTGATAAAGTCTCTGACAACTGCAAGAACTGCCGTACTCTTTTAATAGATCATTTTTAACCCAAACTCCATTTTTATCCATGTCCATAGGAATTGACAATGTGGGCGTACCCCAAGAACCAGGGTTACTTTGAGGATACCATAGTATGCTGTATCAAGGAGAATCCAGAACCTGTCCAATTCAAGATCGCTTGCTATGGAGTCAGACCAGAGGTAGAACTTGATAAGAAGCAACTCCACTTTGAGAAGGTGCTGCTCCACAGGTAAGTCAAAGCGTCTGCCTGTCAAACCAAAGATCTCAGGTTTGATTCCAGCCCAGATAGATGACTGAAGCCTGCGTTGTGTGTTAATGTGCCCCTCCCCTTGTTTTATAGACGCAGGCTATATTAAGTCGAAAACACTCCATCCCTCGGATAGGACGTTAAATGGAGATCCTATGTAGAGGAGAGTCACCACCTGTGCACGTTAAGAACCCACTGCACTATTTGTATAAGAGTAGGGGGAAACCCCGGTGTAATGGTCCACCTGCACACCCCCAATCAGTTACACCGGTGGGAGGGACCAGAGGGTTACAGTGATTCAGTTCGCTTTTTGCCTCCCAGGCACAGGTGACGCCAAATACTTAATGATAATAATAATGACCATTTACAAAGTGGGGCAGGCAATTGTTTAGTCACTGTGATCTGGAAAGTTTTCTTCAGCAAATTATTCAAAGTTGTCTTTGACAATTAATCTGTCCCCGGACATCTGCTTTCTCCTGTGAAATAAGAACAAGTTTAAACTTGACTCTGCAAAAGAAAGAAAAAATGCATCTATAACCGTATGTCAAAATAATACGTTCATTTTTCATTTTAAAGTTCCTCTCAAGTTAGTTATAGTGTTCATACCCTTTTCTGTTTCCTTTTATTATTAATATGTTTGCTTTATATGCAGTTTGCCTGCCCTAATATCATTGTGAATGGAACATTCCAATTTTGTTTTTTCTGCCTGTTAACTTATGTAGACCTCCATTGCTTTTAACCTGCATCCAAGCAAGTTAAGTCCAGGATGAAAGAGATTTAAAAACTAACTTTTTCATTAGATGCTGCTTAAGAAAGAAAGATTACAGAGAGTCCTTTTCAGCACTCCCCAATCCTCCCCCTCTCTCACATGGTACAACCACAAGCCTACTGTATTAACTTTCTCATGTTTATAACCCTAAAGGAAAGACACCAAGACCATCTACCTTCGTAACAGCACCCTGCTTCCTGTGGCATGGAGGGTCAGTGGCCTGGAGTCTCTTGGTGATGACTTCTCAGTCAGCACCGATAGTGGTGTCATCGAACCTAAATCTGAGTTTGCCCTCAATGCTCACTTCAGGGCCATGAAACCAGTCAACACTAAGAAGATGATCCGTCTTGAGGTACGCAACAAACTTATAAACTGAGATGCTAAATTGAAGAGACTTGAGCAGGAATTTGATGTATTCATCATTTGGAAACCATTTTCAACCTCTACTTCCATTTCATTCTATCTAATTTGATTCAAAATACATTCTTCATTGTAAACTTTTACTAATTGGACAGCGATTTGTGATCTTAGAGCAAGTTTTGTTATTAAGATTACGTGCAAGTTAAGGTTGTGCTATTGATGGTGATGGGTATTCAGTAAGGAAAAGTTTCAAGCAAAAACCAAGAATGAGAAGAAGAGAGATGGTTAGATTCACTGTTTATTGTAGGGGACTCTATACTGTCTATACAGCTCTATACATTTTTTAAATTTTTTAAATTCAAATCTCAAATAGTGTGCATCTGCCAAAATGCATTACATTTGATATCACTTAGCTTGCAAGTCATTGTTTGTTGCAGATTTCTTCAATGTTTTGCAGAAATTGTTCTCAGAAAATCATTAACATACAGAATAGATATGAGTATGCCTCAAACTTTTGGCAAATGGAACGGTATAAGCACAGATAATATAGGGTTTTCATGTGGCAACTAGTTGACTCTTTCAAAAAGAAAAAAAAAAGATAAATAAGAAAAAAGATTGTCACGCATGTCTTCACTTCATGGTAATCAAGTGCAGATCTGTAGAAATTGTACTAGATAGTATCATGTTGTGTTATTTTTGTTTACTTCTTGTTGCTTTGTTTGGTTGCCAACTTCTGTAACGATCAGATGACCTTTGACTTCTAAAGACACTGTATGCTCCTTCTCTCCTTCTCAAGGTCTCTGACGTGGAGAACATCATGGGTCTCCTGCAGACAGAGAACATCCAGGTCCTGGCGGAGGCCTATGACGTGGCCCTGGACATGAGCTTCCCCAAGGGAGCCGACGGAGGTCTGGACTTTGGCGTCATCCGAGTCATGGACGAGACCAAGCAGACATGCTCTCTCAAGAACAAGGGCCGTTACGAGATTGCATTCAGGTAGAGTAGACACGATAGCGGGGGTTCACAAAGTAAACAAGTCCTCTCCCCTAGGAAAGCATTAAGTACATGATTCTAACCAGCAAAGTAAATAACAAAAGCAGAGAGAATTACATTAACAAATATGAAGAATGGAGAAGCTACCCACTGATTAATTCTCTAGACAATTACGGACCTTTCCAAAATGTGAAGCAAGCAAAGCACATACATAATACAGTACAAAGGAAAAGAATAAAGAAAACTTTATGATAAAACTATATATATACTGACTAATTCCATACTTGCTAGAGCCATGCAGTCATCAGAGGTCCTATATACTTATGCTTATGTTTTCTTCACCCTTTCTTCTCATCAGCTTTATCTTGGAGGCAACTGCTACCAGCGGTGAGGAGATCATCAACCTATTCTCTGTGATCCCAGCCAAGGGAGTCCTGGTCCCTAACGATAGACCGACTCAGGTCCAGGTCATCTTCAAGTCTAGGAAGGAGATCACCATCAAGGACCAGCCGATCCTGAAGTGCCAGGTATGATGTCTTCCAGCTATCCAATCAACTTTGCAAAGGCTTGAAATATGGTTTATCTTTGCTTTGAAACTCCCACTGTGTCACGCTTGAATTTCTACTGATTTTCTTTAGTTACAGTGAAACCTGTATATGAAGACCACTCAAGGGACACAAGAAAAGTAGTCTTTATCTACAGATTCCTTCAGTACATGATAAATGTTCAATCAAGTTCAATGATAAACCAATTTCATGGGAAACAAAAAATGTGGTCTCCATAGACAGGTAGTTGCTAAAGCAGGTTTGACTGTAATACATATCCAATCTGTCCTGGGGTCTTCCTTATTTCTTAAAATCAACTTGAAAAATGCTCGTGGATACTAGAAAAAAGTTATAAATTAAGTTGAAATTCAATATATCCTGCAAGTGGACTTAATTATTTTGTTAAGATTCTTTAACAAATTTTTTTTTTTTTAGTTTTTATGGATTGGGGATTTAATACTTGAGATGGTGGTATGCATGTGCACAGGATATATATTTTTTTAGCTGTAACTTCCTTGATAAGAGCACTGCTGTCTACTACAGGTCATCGAATCGGGTTTGAGAGATTATAGTAATTATTTGTTGTTGTTGTTTGATCTGTCTTCTTCAAGACTAACATTGAAAAATAACGTAGCTAATGCTGCTCAAATTCTGCCGTAGGTGATTGAGCCCAACCTGAAAGACGGTGGAGAGACCATCGCAAGCATCCCGGTCAAGCTCAGTGTCCGATCCATCTTCAGCAAGTATAACGTCTACCCCATCAACGATATCAACTTTGGGGCTGTCCTTGTCAATCAGCGTAAGCCACGCACCTTCCAGATCGAGAACAAGGGAGAGTTTGACTTCAAGTACACCGTCAACCGCATGGTACGCGACATGCCCATTCAGCCGGCCATGTTGCGAGGAAGAGCGTAAGAGATTCTCCTTTCTTTTGCTTTACAACTTGAATTTTGTCAAGTATTTCTCTGCTTTGGTCCATGATTCTCAAAGTCATATTTGTAGTTGAAATTTCAGAGAGACTTTCTGTCCTTTTGCTTTACAATTCTTGTTTTTCATACGTTTTCTTCCAGGCTCCATCCAGGGTTTGTTTATGCCCAATCTGTAGTTACGAATCCTTAATGGAATTCTCTTTGGAACTCTTGTTTTCCAAAGACTTTTTCTTCTTTGCTTCCAAATTTATTTCACAAGTAGTTCTTCTTCTTTTAGCAGAGTTAGTTTACTTGGGAGCTAGATTCTTTGGTGTTAGCCTTTTCAGCTTTTTCAAAATTGTCAGGTACTCTAAATTTGTATTTCCCCCCTCTTTCTTCTTATTCCTGTCTGTTTGTCTGTCTGTCTCTTTCAGGCTTTACATGTAGAGAAAAACATGAATATCAAGTCATCATTTTAGTTATTATTAAAAACTGTCTAACATTTTGTAATTAATTTCTCTTTTTTATGACTGCATGGTTTGTTTATTGTTAGTAGTAAACCCTCTTTTGCATGCATTTCTACCCTCTGTTTTTTTTTCTTCAATCAGTTTAATTCATTTACTGCATGCATTCTGGTTCATATGTTCTGATTAGTAACCGTTAAGTCACCCTTTTCTTTTCTGTAAAGTGGATCGAGAGCTTCCAAACTTTCCATGTCAATGTCTCTGTTGAGGTAATTATTCTCGGAGTTTGACTGTTTGCATCCAATCTGCCATCTTGACCACTGACACAATCCCTAATCTTCAGCCATACTGTAATCTAATTACTACCATTTCGTCTAACAATATTGGAATGAAGTGTTATTATGCCATGCACATTTGTATTTACAGGATGATTTCATGCAAATATGGAGATTTATCATGTATGTAAGGGGAATGATGGTCATATGATTAGAACTAGGTTCTTTTTGTTTATCATTTTCTTGTTGAGGGTTTTTAATGTGGGCTGAGAACTATGCACAGTGTTCTCAAATATGTGCGATTGTTTGATAGATTGATTTTTTTTTAAGCGCAAGGGACGTTCATGTACTAGTGTGGATGTTTTGATTTGTAACCCAATGTACCCTCTAATATCCATAGCACCATGTATCCTAAATGTGAAACAGTTTACTTTGATTTAGGTCAGCCATAAAGATTTACTTTATGATTTTATTCATTAATTTTTAGTATACATGCCCAATGAATCTAACTTAGCGCACTGAATTTAAAAAACAAACTTGTGTCTTGAATCACCATCTCAAAGATTGTTTGTGTGTAAAAAAATGAAGACTTTTGAGTATTACAAAAGATGTGAGCAAGGTCACATTATGGCATATTTAGTACTTCGCAGATTTAAGATTATGTGTGTGCTTGTGATGACATTACACTTGCAGTGCGCACTGATTCTACAGTTAAAGACTTGTCTAATCCCACTGATTTACAATGAACTTCAAATTAATGCATTAATAGTGCCATAAATGTGTGGAATTAATCTCTTTATTAAATGGGTATAAGCTGTTTGTTTGTATTTGATAGATTTTAGCATTATTGGGCTTGCAGAGATCATGTATACTATTCAATTCAGAAAACAATTGGAGAGAGGGAGAGAGAGTTGAGAAATGTCTTTGTTTTTTTCCAGCTTTATAATAATAATAGAGAATATTTATGAAGCGCATAATAAATTGTAAATTTCTCTATGCGCAAAGAAGATCATAAAATGAAGATCATATGTATTTACAGTTATGAAATTAGTCATTTATGAAAAATTACATTAGCAATTGGATATCAGATGTAATATTTCTCACATGCATATGTATATTTCAACACAACCATTCCATGTATCTGTAAATGTAATTGAAAATGTGACAATGTGCTTTTATCAATTAATTCAGCCATAATTACCTCCCCCCCACCCCCCCAATCAAATCAAGATTTCATAATCATGCATTTTGTATGACAGACAACATACTCATCTCTGATAATCCTAAAATAACACATTTTGAATCCAAAGATTATTCATTGATACTGATAATGTCTCATCTCATATTCCCCATTCCTCTTTATCAGATTGATAATCACATAATTTCCATAATGTATCATTGATATTTCATCCTGTGTACTAAGTGATTTTAGTGTTTACTCTAACTCACTTGTTATAAAGTAACTCCATTTTAATCCATGTTCATGTAAAATCTGGATAGCCAACTACAGCTTCATGCGCATACTTACCTATTGAGAGATACAGGCAATAAAATAGCAGTCACAAACGATATCCAATGTACTACTAGTTTATTTTTAAACACAATTATTTCTTAGTTTGTGGAGAAGTCGGAATACTTGCACTGTGCCACTTTATCACCATTTCTCTTTTTTAATGTAAAATTAGCACCAATTTTCATAATTTGACTTGATATGCATACAGGTTTTTGTTTGATTTCTTTGTAGTTGAAGGTTGCTGTGAAGTACACTTAATGAGATTCAGTAGTCAAAATATACAAATTAGATCTAAATACATGTATATTTATACATTATAGTATCAAAAATGGAATTGGACTACTAATATTTAGAGTACAAAGTGAAATTGGAAAATAAGATTTTGTGAGAAACAAGGAAAAGTCATTTAAACAGACACATTTTGTTTGTAGTTAGCTTATAAGGTTGAAAAAGGTGGAAAGTTGATTTGGAAACTACCTGATAATCCTTTTACCTTTACATGTACCTACAAATATTTTCATGCATTTCTCTCCTATCTTGCGTTAATAATACAGACCACCGGGTACCAACAAGCGTAGCAAGTCCAGAGACGGGTCAAGCTCAGGCCGGTCAGTGGCCAAACCCAAGAGAGCAGAGTCCATCAGGTAAGTCAAGGAAGGCATCGACCATTGACCTTTGACATTCCCCCCCTTGATATTTCTCCAATGGAGTTTTGAGTAATTGCTTCCTTCTGTCAGATTAGATGTCATGAGATTTCAATTTCTACAATAGACTGGTTTACTAAAATATTCAAATTGTATGGATTTTTCTTTCCTGGGGACCTATAGTGACAAGGTATTCCACTAATTAAACTGTTATTAATGAATGAACTACAATACTTGGAATCCAGTCTGCATACAGTACTTGTTGTTTCTTTAAATAGTATGCATAAAATTTGAATATATTAGTAAACTTGTTAATTCTCCATTATATATAGGCATACATGTAGTCGATGACAAGTGTGGTCACACACATCCTCTATGTTCTTGTATATGATGAAGGAAATATTTTTAGTTTTAATAGTCAACAAGTTGGTTGCAAAAGGCTGCATTGTTTATGATTTCACATTTAATCATTAGGTGGGGAATACAGACTTTGATACTTTGTCTTCAGCATTTTATCTAAGTCTTTAGAGAAGATTTCCTATCTGCTTTGGGAATTTACCACAAATCAGGATATTTAAAGATATATATACAGGATATTTGATATTTAAAATTACATTGATATTGTTGCTCAAAGCTATGGCATGTGTGAAATTTCAGTGAAAATAGAACAACTAACTTTCAGTCAGACACTTTGGCTGATCAGTCATGTGATAAAAAATAAATTAAAAATGTAAGTTTGCATCTTATCATTGATCTGTCTAGATTTATCTTAAAAAGTATACTCTATCTTTGATATGTTGTTTTTCTAAAGGAATCCAGAGGACAAGTAAAATTTCAAAATTCACTGCGTTTTCTTTCTCAAAATGCTCTTCTAAGAAATTCACCATAGTTCTGATTCATCATCTCAACAATGCACTCATATATTTAAGTCATGCTTTTTCCCCCTTGGTATTTCTCTTTTGGTCTAAAGATTATCCACCAGGTAAAAGGAAGCTTGTGTTTTTCTTTCATCAATATATTTCCTTTCTGTGTTTCAATGTCACGCTATAGTATTCTCTTTCCGCAATTTGGTTTTCCCAGTATCATTTTGTGCATTTTTGTCACTTTTGGTATGCAGTATTTAGCAGTTTTATAGTGCTGAGGTTGTATCCTCCACAAATGCCATGCATCCTTCTCTTTTTTGTCTTCTCACTTTCATTCCTAACTAGTCTTTTATTGAATTAGTTTTAGCATTTCACAGACAGATTTAGTATACTTTTTATGTAAATAAACAATATGCTTCTTAAGGCCTTCTGTCAAAAATAAAAGAAGAGAAACAAACAAACATCTGTGATGATTTAAGCTGATAATGGACCAGTGACTTGAAATAAATTGTAAGTTAATTTTACGTGATGCACATATTTCAGAATACTCATTATATGCAGATTTTGGACCTACTCATCCATTTAAAGTCATTTTAATAGGCATTTCTTATTTACTCCACAATGAATAACCAACACATATACTGACACTTATGGACACCATGAAATATATATGAATATTAAGAACATTCAGCCCGGGCATAGATACATGTCTTTAAGATATTCTGTACCTAAGATATCTAGACTCATTGTCAATACCGGTAGTTTGTTTCGTTTAAAAAAAAATTTGGATTAAATTACAGACCATTTCTAAATAATGCAGTATCAATTAGTCTCCTTTTCCTTTTCTTGTTGGGGGGGGGGGGGGGGGGGGGGGGCTAAGATTAGCAAAGTATTTTTATTTTTCATATTGATGATCAAGCAAAACTTCAAGATAAGATTATTTTCTTTTCTCTTTCTAATGCCGTTAATTTTTTTTGGGGAGTGTTAAATGTTATTCCCCCCAAAGTGCCTCATAATGTGAATTTTGATTCAAATGAAAATGTAGCTACTTCAGTAGCACTTTGATGTTGTTAACACAATGCATATGTACATTTCATGTTTTGGGTAATTGCTGTCAAAGAGTGTTGCATCTCATTTCTGTGTTTTTTCTTTTGGAAAAATTAATATTGCAGTCTTATGAGTATACTCTATCAAATGTTAAGTTTGGCAAATGCTTCCCTCTGTATTTCAAAAGGCACATATTCAGTGGAACAATAAGTCTATCTCTTTTTACATTATACTTTTTACTGACCCCAACTTTCTATATGTCTACATTTTATGTATTTCTGCTTTTAGTTTCTTAGACTGAGATATCTTCATATTGCCTACAATTTATTTCATGCAACTTGTTTGCTGTTCTTGCAATACAGTAAGATTTGTTTGCTTTGATGTTTCAAGATTTCATGAGTGGAGACCAAGAAGGACTCATTTACACAGAGCTATTGCCCTTCTAGATCTCACTACACAACACACATTCTGTCACTCTGCATAAATCACTTCAGTATATCTATTGCAATTGATCTCTTATTAATTTCAAGTACAAATTGCAATGTCTGTCGTTATTCACCAGTTACTTTAATACTATACAGATGGGTGTACAAATCACAATATTCAATGATTAAACATTGTAATCTTAACTCTTGAAAGTAAAATGTTAAAGAAACTTCATATTTAAGATTTCAAACTATGTATTTCATCCAATTTGTTTCTGTTGATCAATATATATATGACGTATTAGTCCATACAAAATATTATCATTATAATGGTAATGGTTTTATTAAAAATTCATTTGCAGCCAGATGGTTGAATTGCAGAACTTTGTACATTGTAAAAACATAAATATTTATACAAACATACAACGTATTAAGTTATATCACGCAGTGAATGAATTAAAAAATCAGTGTACACATATATATATACAAATTAATACAATTCATAAAATTCGCTTAACATTCTATTCCACAATCATCATAGGGCTGGAGGGGAAATATAGAAGAGAGGTAGGGAGGATAATAGTGCAGACAGCACGGGAGACCGAGGAAAAGTGTGAGATAGAGACAGACAGGGGGAGAGAAAGAGAGAAAGGGAGAAAGGGAGAGAGTATTGCTATCTTCATGATCATCATCATTGTAGTAATTTTCATCATCACTATCATTATCTTTTTCTTAATCATCATCATTCAATGTCATCATCATCTCTATTTTCAACTCCACCACCCCCACCATCATCATCAACATCATCATTATTATTATCATCATAATCATCATCATTATTACTATCATCATCTTGTTCATTATAATCAACATTCATTGTCATCCTCATCTCAATTATCACCATCATAATCATCATCATCATCATCATCATCATCATCATCATCAACGTGTTCATCATCAATATCATATTCTTCATCATCAACGTCATGATTATTATTATCCTCCTCATCATCATCTTGTTTATTATAATCAACATTCATTGTCATCCTCATCTCAAGTATCATCATCATCATCATTATATTCATCATCAATATAATATTCTTCATCATCATTTTATCATGTTTTTCCTCATATCAATCATCATCTCTGCCATCATCATCATCACCATGACGCCCTCAACATCGTTATTGTTGTGATTATCTTTATAATCCATTTTTCTTCCACCTTCAGACAAGATGTGGGTGCTGCAGGAGGTGGAGGAGGAGGAGGCGGCGGCGGTGGCGGCGGAGGAGGCGGTGGTGGTGGTAGTCAGACCCGTCTCCAGCTAGGGATGTTCACAGTCTATCCAGCCTATGGTTTGGTTTCTCCTAACAACCAGGCTACGGTCAGCGTGGACTGCCTTCCAGAGGCTGTTGGCTCAGGATTGGAGGTAAGTTGGGACCAATTGTTTAGTCTTTACTTGGTTGCCCCAGCTTCAAGTATGAAATATGTGATAGAAGCTATAGAGACAGTTAAAATTACATGTTTTCTTCAAACCTATACATTTGATATATATATTGTAGATATGAAAATGTCGATTCAAAGCATATTCCTGTCAACAATTACAATCATGGAGATATGTCAATAACAAAGTTGACTGTCTTTCAAACAGATGAGGAAAATAATCATTTAAAGGCTCCTCAAATGAATGACAGTTTTGTTGGTATATAATGACTCAATGTAAAGAAATATGAAGCAAAAACTTGTAAACCTTTGGTATCTTTCAGACAATTTCATAGTATAAAACCCACTGTGAGATTTAATGTTCCGTTTTAAACATGTTGGGGTGAAATTTCTAACTTGAACCTCTCTGGCTTTATGCATATTTCATTTCGCTTTTTCAAATGATAGTGCTGTATGATATCCAATGTTGTACTTAGCACCTCCGTTCTTTCTGCTTTGATCCATCAGGACCTCGCCATAGAGATCTCTGACCGTGACCCGACCGACCACCCCCAGGGCATCCCTTACAAGGTGATGGCCGAAGCCTGCATTCCTGGCATCAACCTGACAGACCTGGGCTCCATCTTCGAGGAGCACCGCATCGTCAAGAACCTCAGCGTCTTCCTCAACACCCATCAGCTGGAGCTGGATGGAGGAGGAGTCTTTGGGGAAGATGAGAACAAGTTTATCTTTGGTCACGTGCTGGTCGGACGCAAGGCCAAGGCGCGCTTCAAGATCTCCAATCCCTACAAGGTATGTCAGGTTGTCATTCCTGTCTCTCTTTAATATAGGCTCTAGTCCTAGGTTCCTTGACCTATTTAGAAGACGTACTGAAATACTGGGATATGTTTTTTATTGGATCGATATGTATAAAAATATAACTTACATATTGGAGTAATAAATATAAAAAAAGTTTCAGGTATAACATAATTCTGGAATTGTATCATTTTAATGATATTAATCGTACTAAACCAATACCTTAATCCTTCACCTCTTTTATTTTCCATACAGGTATCGTGTGATGTGTTGTTCTCTTGCAAGCTCCAGACCAGTAAGCCTTCATCTAAGCTCCAGGATATTTTTGACGTGGAGCCAGCTAGAGCCGCCATCCCTGCTCACGGTAGCGTCTATGCCACAGTCACCTTTTCTCCACCATCCATGCAGGTGTGTTCTCATTCTCTGTGCAAGTAGAGGTTTTGATTTGAATTAGCTTGTCATAGAGGTCATTTATGTTTTAAGGCCACCTTGTTTTAGCGGTCTCTGATTCTGTCTATCCAAACAATTTTAAAAGATTATCGCTCCTATCGTCAGAAGCTGATTTTTTAAATTTAATTAATTTCAAAGATTTTTTTCATCAATAGAAAGAAAGATTCTGAAAATCTAGCCAAAATATAATAATATTTCTTCTATCCAATAGAGAATACAGAAGAATTGAATGTATTCAATATTCTTAGAAGAAATTGTGACAGTGACTAGCTACCTTGAAAAACCCAACTTTTTATTGTTTGATTTGTCTCATTAATTTGTTTCCCTGCTTCATTGAACATTGTCCTGTTTCTATATTATAATATGTAAGCACATTACATTTTTCTTTCTATAGTGCAAACTAACTTTTTTTTCTCCACATTTTCTTCATGTAACAGACGTACACTGGTCAGTTTGAGGTGGCCATTGAAGGGCTAAGCGGACCCCAGGCCAAGCTTCGTAACCTGTCCTTTGAGGTGCAGGGAGAGGGCAACTTGCCCCGTGTGACGGTCCTCAAACCCTCTCTGAGGAACAAGAAGGGTACGCCCCTGCTCCTCTTCTCTCGTCTACTCAGTGGTAGATCCCAGACCCTGCCCCTGTGTCTGTCCAACGATGGTACCCTGCCCAGCAAGGTAAGTGCATGGTTGATGGATTAAAGGGGGTGTGTAACTTTACATAGAGATGATGGATGGAGAGATGCCAGCTTCTATGCAGTTGCTAGGCTCAATGACTTCTAGTTCTTATTATATCCTACAGCTAAAACTACTCATATTGCAATATGTCATGTATCTTTGGAGAAAAAAAATCACCTACTCTGTCCCTGCATAAGCTAAAATATTTTACTTAGCTAGTATTTTGAAATGATATGGAAGTATACAGTTAACAACTAAATTATTCATACCCTTAACATGTTTTGTAATTTTTCAAGTATGTGAAAAAAAGATTTGTCTCAATTTCCAATTTCTTGAGAATGTGACCTATTATAGCTTACATATAAACGTATTCAACATAGGCCCTAATTCAACACGTCCACCTTTCATTCTTGAGTTATGAAAAACACAAAAAACATCATATTTACAAGGGATATATATGTCTCTACTAATTATGTTAATGGTGTTTCTTTGTGTACATTATATTTTGATGTTTAAAAAAAAAGATATGTATATTTCTCCAATTGAACAATATTGCTCTTTGCTTTAATTGTCTTCATACAGGTTGATATTGATCTTGAAGATACATCAGGTTCGTTCAAGCTTCAGAGTTCTGCCAAAACCAAGCTCATATACCCAACGTATAGTGACACTCTGCTATCAAAAGGTAAGAGATATTCTGTAGAGGTGTCATAGTCCAGTGGTTTAAGCACTTGACTTGAAATGCAGAGGTCATGGGTCCAATCCCGACATAGCACTAATGTCCTTTGGCAAGGCATTAATCTACATTTGCCATTCCATACCCAAAAGAAATATGGGGACATGGTAGGATGACGAAAGCCTTTGTGGTAGTAGTTTCCATTTGATCTCACGGTGACCATGGGGTAGGAATACTCCCCAGGGAGTGGAGATGGTGCACATTGTGTAAAAATAAATCGGATGATTGGGGTATTAATATCTTTAAAGCGCTTAGAGACTGTATTTAGTATCAAGCACAGTATAAACCCAGATTATGCTGTCAAGTTATTAGCAACTCAATAGTCTGTACTAATTTGAGTCAAGTTCATGTTCCTGATTAGGTAAAACCACCTCACAACCTCCCTTCATAGACAGTGTTACCCGGTAGTAGCTTGCTTGATGGAATATGATCTACCATATTAAAGCCCATCTGCACTAGTTTGACCAGAAGGGATTAGACCTTCCTGCGTGGTGCACTGGCAGGTGATTTTCTAATCAAATCAGCTCTCAATTAACATAAGAAAAAGGGGACCATGGGAGATCAACGGGTACCACTTAGGCATTGTTGGCCATATAGAGGGCGCAAGTAGCTACAAGTAGTGCAGTCTCGCTTTAAGGAATGGTTTTGAGATGGTATTATGAGAAAGTGCATACTTGAACCGTTAGATGCTTCATCTAATGACTATTTAAAAAGCAATAAAAAAATTCTAATCACCATTATAAAACTCTATAATAATTAAAAATATAAATTGAAAAGTAAAACATTGGATAAAACTTTACAATGTTGCCAATTTTCAGCCGACTCCACCAAGCAGCACCCCCATGCTGCATCCCTCATCATCCAGCCTAACGAGAGTGCAGAGTTCAACGTGGTCTACACTGCCTCCAACACAGGACGCAGCGCCGCCCAGGTCCGCATCGCCGTCACCGACAATCAGTTTGAGAACCAGCTCATCCAGCTGGTTGGAGAGAGTTACCATGATGATGTGACTCTGGACAACATCCATAGCCTGGTGACGGAGGAGACCCTGGATGGTACGGTGGAGGAGGAGCAGATAGCTGGTGAGTGATTGATGCTTTCCTTCTTTTGCCCTGGTCTGTATATGACCACTATAGACATGAATTGGCCTCTGTTTGATGCCTACCAAATATTTGTCTATTTCATATTTCTACACTGATAATCGCAGTTACACATTGATCAAAGACAATGGAATCGGTTGTACTAATCATGTTGTTGATAGTATTTTGATGACACACATTCTTTGAGGTGTTTTGGCTGGTGAATAAAAATTGTGTATTCGCAGATAAGTTGATTATTTAGGTGAATAGATAATTGATTTTGTTATCGCCTGATGTTGAAACCCATATTTTCAATTATACACATCTTAAAGAAAGGAGTATACTGTAGGAAGCATTTCACCAACCAGATTATGCTCCAATGCAGTCTTCTCATTTCCAAAGAAGATGGGGAAATATTGTTGCTCTCCTCTTGCCTGAGAAGAAATGAGCTTTGTATCCTTAAATCTTTTTGTGGGTGTTTTTATCTAAAGCATTTCTCAATTTTCCTTTGTTTGCAGCTGCTCCATCCAACCACATCCACTTCAGTGACTGTTACATCAACGATGCCCGCCAGCTGAGTTTCACCATGACCAACCACAGCCAGACGGACACCATCCGCTTCCACTGGCCAGAGAACCATCCCCAGCTCAAGTTCTCTCCGGCCATTGGTCATCTCCATGCCGGCTGTGCCAAGGACGTGGTCATCACATTCAAGACGACCACCGCCGTCACGCTGACCAAGGCTTTGGTGGCATGCAAGATGTGCAAGATCAACTTTGACAAGCCAGTGGATCAGGTGAGTACTCAACAATTTTCAGGACATCTTGGCTACTTATTTTTGCATTGACTGAATCTAATGTTATTTAATCTCTTTGCCATTTTATCCTTGAAATATACAAGGTAGGGGATGTTCAGAATATACAATTCTAGAGGCTTATATATATATATGATTATTTTATTCATTCATTTATTGCAACATATGGAGGAGAATATAGAAAGGCCATAGAACTATTTTGCATTAATTAGCAAAAAAACTTTGAAGTCCACGTTATAACTCTTGACTTTTGTGTAGATTTTGAAAGAACATTCTTTCTTAACAAAGCGATGCATTTTATACTTTCTAGGTAATGGACTGGGATGACCGCTTGCGAACAGTCAATTGGGTTGACCTACCAGTGGCCAATGCTCGACCAGCCACCTCTAGCGAGCAGACCGGTGGTCGGCCTCGCTCCACCCAGGACCAGAAGCGGGAGGATCGAGAGAGCAGGACGAATAAGAAGGGTGCGAGCAATGCAGCTGCCCAAGCTGCTGCTGCCGCTGCAGAGGCTGCAGAGAGGGAGAGGAACGAAGAGGAAATGAGGAGGAAGATGAACGCTACCAACGAGGTGCCACGCCCAACCAAGAAGAAGGTAAGAGAAAGAAAGAGAGAGAGAGAGAGAGATGGTGAGGGTCGGAAGAAACTGCCATAAATTGAGACAGAAGAAGGGATATAGAGACAGAGAGACAGACAGAGGGAGAGAGAGAGAGAGAGAGAGAGAGAGACAGAGAAAGATGTTGAGGTCATGAAAGAGAGATTTTGAAGATTAGAGAAAGAATGAACAATAGAGACACATAAGACTCATATTCTGAGTTCTGGTTTATATTAAACTAGAGTTTAAATGTGGTCTAAGTCCAGTCTAAATCAAGAATTCCGGCCTAAGTCTGGTTTAACTTTGTACAAAATGCATATTGCACCAGACTTTCAGAAACAGAAATGGAGTTAAACCCGACTTACACTGGACTTGCAGTCTAAGTCAGGTTTGATTAAACTCTGGTTTAACTTAGACTGGAGTTTAAGTTAAACCCGACTATCTAATACGGGCCATAAAGAAGAGATAGAGAAGGAAATGTGTGAGAAAGAAATATGATGAGAGTTAGAGAGAAAGACAGAGAAGAGGTATACAAGAAAAAGAAAGAGATCGAGGCCACCATTATTTCTCATTTAAAAACATCTAAACATAAACCTAAGAAAATGTCTTGCCAGCTTCACAAAGTGTCTTGTCTGAATTGTAGAACCTTGAGATGTCATTATGCCGCTGAATTCACAGCAACGATTGTTACAAAACCGCATCTTCTTGTAATTAATAATCCCATGCATTGTATCTTGCGCAGGTGATTGAGACCGAGCCGGAACCAACCCACTCTGTGAAGGAAGACTCTAGCCGAGAGATAGAACTCAATGTCAGTGCCATTGCAGACTATTGCAAGTTCAAGTGCAAGACCGAGGCCGTCCACTTCAAGGATACACTTATGTTTCAGACCAGGATCTTCTCGTATGTAGCCCTGTTTTGATTTTGAACACTTTATTATAACATTATACCTCATAGTAACTGTCATTGCATATGTTAAGACTTGTGTGCATAGAAAATTTCATGTGAACATTGCCCGAACTTTATATCTGCACACTTGAATATAGAAATGAAGCAAATATATATAAAAGATATATCCTTGTATGTGTATCGATTTAAAACAAATTGTTAGATTTACTCTTGTTGGATAGCTGTTGTTGAACTTCATTAAATTTATGTGTAAAAGTCAGGCTAATGCACTCTTGCAAAACAGTGCCAGAAACAGAGCTGTGCAAGACAATGGAATTACAAAAAAGAGAATAGCTTTATTCTATTTATATGAGGTGTTTTGGTCTAGTGGATACGTCGTTGGACTGATGATCACAGGGTTTGCGGTTCGAGTCCCATTGCGGCACTAATGTCCTTCTTCACCCAGGTGTTAAATATGTACCGGCAGGAAGGAATTCCTAGAATACTATGAGCACTGATATGGTAGCCTAGAACAGAGCCGGTGGTAGTATGAGAGCGCCTGGAGCACCTTGTGTGGTGGATATGTGCACTATATAAATATCCACTATTATTATTGTTATTATTATTACAGTTTTCTGGTGACAAACAAGGGAACAGTGGGGCTACCCTTCAGCTGGCAGGTGGTCATGGAGGATGAGGCATCGCACCACAAGAGTGTTAGCTTTGCCGATGGTGAACAGCTGAGACTGCCGTCCCGCTGCAGCACTGCCGCTGATGGTGCCGTGGACGTGTACCCCTTCACCGTAGAGCCGGACATGGGGTCTATCGGGCCGGGCAAGAAGCAGAACTTCAAGGTCAAGTTTGCTCCCCTCGATATCAAGGATTATGAGGGCAGGCTCATCTGCAGGTAAATTGATCTTGCTTATCAAATCAAATTGAGTGATCTTTGAATATTATATTTAAATAAAATTAACATTCTATGTATGCAATCGGGAAAGAAAAAACATTGCACAGAGAAAAGTGTTGAATCATATTTTACTTGCAATCATCATACCAGTATATTGATTTCACTTATGAAAAAAGAGAATACATGCAAGAAAATGACAATCTTGATTGGTTAGAAAAAGTTATGCCTTTTGAGAGAGAAAAAATATGTGATCCCCATTTTGTAGAGCAAACAAAATTACTTTATAAACATATAAAGACAGCTACTACCTGCACTCTGTATTACATCTGCTTGATAAGGCAAGTCTAGTATTTGCATTTATCACATTTTCCGTTTAAATTGGTAAATTGCCATTTGTGAAAATGTTATTTTGTTTAAACCACAATTAACAATGACAATTCCACGTTTTCAATTCAGGTTTTATTTCAGAAAAACAGAGTACAATGATGCACATGCTGCAAGCTAAAAAGCTGAAATGTATATGTTTACAATGATCAAGGATACATATAAATAGAAAAGAATATCTATTCACAAAACAGAACATTTCTACTGTTTTAGTATGGAGAAAGAGCTTAAGAATAAATTATGTTGAGGATGTTTGAAATCAATCAAGGAAAGATTTTGTAATTAGTCTTTGTTAATTTATCTGTATTTGAATACCAGAGTACCTAACCTAGAAGAGGGCAAGCAGGGACCGGTCCTGGCCGTCAAGGGTAAGAGTGTGATGCCTTACTGCCACTTTGATCTGGAGGACTCGGACTACATCAACGGAGCCAGGCGCAATCCAGAGCTGCCTGGACCAGGAGGGGCTCCACCCGGCTCCACCCTGGATCCCAACACCAGGGTCCTGGAGATGGCCTCCATTGGTGTGCAGGTGAGAAGGAATGAAAGGATGGAGGTGGGGGGGGGGGGCGTATGAGGGAGAAGAAATTTGAGAGAAGATATCAGGGTCATAAATGTAAACAAATAGAGGGGATGTAGCGAAAATAGCTCTTGGAAAAACAAATGCGGATCGTGTTTGGGAATAGAGACATAACGAGAGAGGGAAGGAGTAAGAGAGAAAAAAAGGAATACCGTATACCTTGCAATTTGCTATCAATATGAAATTATTAATGCTTATTAGCAAGGTAATCTGTGTCTTCAAGTATACCTTATGATTCGTGACTCAAGACAGTTTGTATATTAAATACATGTAGCATATTGTTCCAGAAGAATGTTTACAAGAAATGAGAAAATATATGCATTTCAAACAAATGAAATACAATTTACATGTGCATATTAATAAAAATGTTGCTAGTAGTATAGCAATTGCAACCCAAAAGGAAGTGGAGAGATGCATTGTTTTCATCTACATTGTTTCACTATAATAATTAAAGTATATTTAAATATAATATCAATCCCTGGAGACAAGAAATAATATACCATTGACTAATAAAATAACAATAATAATAAGCATTTATATAGCGCCGTCTATCTAGACAATTCTATTTCGGGGGCGCACAAGAAAAATAGAAAGAATAGCCGAGTTTGGATGAGTGTCATATAGTGCCAAGTACAGGTAAAAAAGATGAGATTTCAGTTGGATTTAAAGGTCTATATAAGCTAGCTCTAAGGAAGTTCCGATTTGACTACCAGTATTGACCATACGGCTGTGTTTTCATTGCAGGTGCGCAACACTCGTCACTTCTTCATTGTGAACCCTACAGCCACGCCCTACACCTTCATGTGGATGTGTGAGGATGAGGTAGACCCCAAGAAACCTACCGTCTTCAAGTGTCTGACCACACAGGGCCAGGTGGCATCTGGCAAGAAGACACAGGTATGTACTCTAGGGATTTTAACTGTTGACCCTTAATGAATGAAACAAATTGTATTATGTCGCCTCCTGTGTCATTGTCATATGTTGTCTTTTTACCAAAGTATTGTATTTCATCATGCATAATTGTTATGATCAAATTTTGCCTATAAGGTTTTTTCATTCAATTATTCAGTCAGTCAGTCGGAATGCTAAAGTTCAAACCATATGCTTGAGCACAAAGACCAAATATCACTCTGACATGACTAATTTAGATATTTTAATACTCTTTTTATATGTGCACAGAAATCCAATGGTTCCTTCCTTAATTACAACATTAATACATGCATGGAATCACTTCTGAACTTTTGTGCCACCAGGTTTATGAAAAACTATCATGTTAAATTTGATAGTCATATCTATTCAATGTCTCATCATGAAAGTTGGTATTCATTTGTGCAAGATTAAATTGTCAGGCAGGATATGCCGCAGAATCGCAGAATGGGATGAACTCCCTGTAAAATAAAAGACCAATCAATGAATGGTGATTAGGGCCATGTGACACTCTGGTTTTGAACCTAAATCAATCCCCTAGTTAATAAGAATTAAATGGCCCTCCTGTAATTCATATCTACTACCTCGGAATGCCACAACTCTCTGTCCCATATTCTATGAAGTAATTCATTCTCCCCAAAATCAATTCCACTTTCAGAATTCCCACTTCTTAAGCTACTCATCCACAGAATCCTCCTCCTACCTATACTCCTCCTCCCCTCTATTCTCCCAGTCAATGCAACATTTTCCAAACCTTCCTTTGAATAACATGACCCAAGTATACATTTGACGTTGATTTGCATTTCAGCGACTATAATTACCCACACTTACTCAATATCTTTTTTTCCTTCCATGTTTGTCTTTACCAGGTTAGCTTTGAGTTCTTGCCAAACCAGCTGGGTGTCGTGGAATCCTTCTGGAGGTTCACCATCCCTGAGCAGAACATCTCCGTCCCGTTCCTCCTGGTAGGTGACGCCCATGAACCTGCCGTCTCCACCGATAGATCCCACATCAACTTCAAGTCCATGCTTCTTGGTAAGTATTAATTGATTCGGTCCCCAATCGTGAAGGGCAAGAACTCAAAACTCAAAGCTAGTTCCCACAGTTTACCTCGTGTAGACATACATGATTATCATTTGTTATTTAGAAGTGGGGAAATTTATTTTGTCATCTCCCTTTTTTTTCCAATGGATAATGCATTTATGCACACCACTTTATATGTCCACAACAAATTTTAACCCTGTAACATTAAAAGTGCCATTCATACATTAGTATAAAGGGCTTCCATACTTTGGGTGCATTTGTTAATTGGAACAATTAAGCCCTCAGCTCATCAGAGATCCTTTTTCCCCCCACTGTGCCTACATGAATCTGCAATAACAATAATGATATTATTATAAAGACATTGATAATTAAGAATTATCATATCAATATGAAGTCATAAATGTCATTTCTACATTACTAATGTGCAGGCTGAAGGTGCAGTTGAATAAAAAAAAATAAAAATGCATGTTTAACTCACAAAGATAAAATGCACCTCCTCGCCAGGATGTCTTGTCTATTCAATTATTCACTTTGCTGCAACCCCATGTTCTGTAACATGCAGTTCCTATTCACAATGATGGTTCCCGTATTCAACAAGCTTATAAATATTCTATTATTATCCTCTCATTTTAGGTAACGAGGCCTATGAGAGAATTTTCCTGATTAACAACGAGGGACGAGCCTTTGACTTTGAGATCAATGAGACGTCTTGTCATTCAGAAGCCTTCTCATCCAGGCTCCATTTGACTCCAATGAAGGGCACCATACTGCCCAATGACAGGTGAGAAGATACAATGAAACAGTGAACTAGTTAAAGGGAGAGGTTTGTCAGTTTCCTTGTGCAAAAGATCATAATTCGTTGACACCGACTTGGTGAGAATACTATTAATGGGTGTTCAAGTTGGCATACAGCAAACCTGTAGTCCTATCAAGAAATAACCTCTAGTCTCTTGAAGAGTCTTTTGGTGAGGGAAATGTAAGATATTGGCCCGTATTCTGAAGTCGTGTCTAACTTAGCCACGTCTAAAGTTAAACAACTGTTTAGTTAGACACGACTTAGACAGGACTTAGACGCGAGGTCGTGTCTAAGTCCTGTTTAACTCAATTTCGTATTCTGAAGTCGTGTCTAAGTCTCGTCTAACTAAACAACTGTTTAAGTCCTGTCTAAGTGGTGTTTAACTAAACAACTGTTTAAGTTCTGCGCAAGTCGTGTTTAACTCTTAGTCACGACTTCTGGGCATGCCCAGTAGGCGTTAATTCTGACGAAAGACCCAATGCGCATGCGTGCGCGCACCGGATAAATAAATTAACGCGCACAGCTAGCTGTGCGCGTGCTGGTACCATGGTGATGTGATCGTGACGTAATGACTAGACTGCATGTACTTTGTGTACGTACGTACGTAGTACACGTACTGTACACTGAGATTGACAAACACACTACTTATCGGTGCCTCAGTGCTCGGAAGAACCACAAAAGAAACTTCTCCAACAGAATGGTTAGTTTATTATAGATTATGGAATTTCCAAGATGTCACCAGTAGATAAGAATAGTTAATATTATCGAGAAAAAAAATTAGGCTACACGAGAAAAAATCCTGCAAAACGTATTTGAAATTTTGGAGAATGCACGTACCATCGTTCTCCCCCGCAAGTTCGGGGTCAGCAAGTACAGTGTACCGTCGACGTTGAAAAGCAGCAGAATCGCGCCCTTAAACAGGACTTAAACAACCCCTCGCAGTTGTCTAAAGTTAAACAGGACTTAGACAGGACTTCGTGTTTAACTTTATTTAAACACGACTTCAGAATACCAAAAAAGTTAGACACGACTTCGTGTCTAAAGTTAGACGGGACTTAGACAAGACTTAGACAACTGTTTAGTTAAACAGGAGTTAGACACGACTTCAGAATACGGGCCAATGACTTTACCGTATGAGGGAATGAGTGGAAATGTAGTGCCTGTTGGTCATAAAACTGAAGCCTGCTAATCCTGGTGATTGACAAAACTTGTTATTGGGTAGACACCTTAATGGTGTCTCATTCCCCATCAGAGCCCACTACAAAGTGTCTTTAGAGATATTTGAATGATAGACTGAAACATAATACAATAGTGTATTTCACTAGCTGAGATAATATTTTATGAGTCAGCACTGAAATGCACTGAGATGAAATCCTTTCATTTTTATAAGTTGTGTGAAGATAACCATCATATTCAGTTTTCACTTCCATGTTTTTATAGTGTGTTAGTAGTCTTCACTCTGATTACATTGTGAAAGGAGAAAGCATTATTACAACATTTTGCCAGCCTGCTTGCGTGAACACATATTTACCTTTTAAAAAACATTCACAAGCTGTGAGTTATTAGAAGGTTAGTCTGAGTAGTGTTTTTCAAATCTTGAGGTATTGAATATCTGAGGGCTCTCCATGAACTATTTTTTTTACAACCATGAGATATTGGATGGCCATCCAGGTACTGAGATGCACTGTTTTCTCATAAATAATAATCTTCACTGTTTCCTTCCAATTCCCAGGATCCCCATCGATGTCTCCTTCATCCCCTGTGAGGAGAAGGTGGTCAACTTCAACGTCCAGATTCAGGTCCGGAAGAAGACCCTACCGATCTGCCTCAATGTCAAGGCCGAAGGGTACTCCATGAACTGCATAGTCCAGTGTGAAGACTCGACCGGTCAGAAGAAAGACCTGTCCAGCACAGGCGTCAACTGCATTGACTTTGGAGAGGTCAGTCATATCATTTTTTCTCAACTGGTCGTTTGACCTCTCAACTTGTTGTTTGACCGTTTCACGAATGCGGAGAGAATTTAGTTGTTGGGTTGTGTTTGACTTGCAATTGAGAATGATCATAAGATTTTGATTGAAATATAGTTATTCCTTGGACACCGATTTCAAGTTCAAGTCAAAGACCAGGCATTTTATAGCATGTTGTCTCTCTCAACCCAGGTTTAGTGAGTGGGTAACTAGTTGATAGTCAGAGTAATAGCTTTTAAAGTGTACACAGAACCTGATGTGTTACACATGTTGTGTTATCTATGTGCTTCTTGTTGATGTATCATTGTATCAAATCAAGATCAAGTTCAAGTAAGTCTGTACTGTATCTAATTTTGGTGTACTGCAAAGAATAAAAAATTGAAAAAAAAGAAGAAAATAATGATTGATTTCAACTGGATATTGAAGTACTGCATTATAATCCCTTGTGTAATCTCTCTTATTTTAGATTGAGGTGAACGAGAAGGCAGTGCGTTCCCTCTACATCATCAACACCGGCAAGTTCAACTTTGACTTTGAGTGGTTCTTGAAGGAGGAGACCAGGGGAAGCAACCCTAAGCTCTTGAGCATCTCACCGGACTTTGGTGGTGTACCCTGCAACGATCGCAAGCGTAGTGTCCTGTCGTTCAAACCCATCTACAAGACGACCCTCAGAGGGTGTGAGCTTATCTGCAAGGTAAAACATCTTTTCTATGTTCTTTCTTTGTTTAGCTTGTTTCATTCCAAGTTCATTGTTGTTGTTTTTTTTGTTTTTTTGTATTAAAATAAAGTGATATGTGTATGAATTAAATGGAATTTGAAACCTCTCCATTTCAATGATACTGTGTGTGTGTGTATCCATTAGACACTCAAATTGTTGAGCTCTATATATGTGCCACTGCAAATGAAAACATGATTATCATATTGCAATCCTGTAGTTATTGGATTGATAAAGTGATTATTTTATCCAAGTGATAAGAAAGTATGTGTTTGTTTAAACACATATGCCAGCTCCAGAGGACGTGCAGCTCCACGTCTTAAATTATTTTAGGTGTCAATTACTTGAAGATGGGTGCATTACAGGTCCTTATGCTTTGGAACACTGATGTAGTCTCAAGTCTAGACCTTTCACTTCCAAGACCATTGCACTATCTACTGAACCATACCATCTTTAATTATCACCTGGAAAGTTACGACCTGAGATATGATGTTGACTCAATATGCCATGCTTAGATCTGCTCTGAGGTTAAACTATACCATTTGCATTCTTGATTCTTCTAGATTGCCAACGGTCCGACCTATGAGGTGAAGATCATCGGCCATGGGGTGGCGCCTGGGCTTCACTTCTCTTTCCCTCAGTATGACTTTGGGCCATGTTTCATCCACCGAGCTGGGATGCCAACCCACTCTAAGATCCTGACACTCACAAACAGAGACAGCAAAGACATCAGGTGGGTACACATAGATAAATTGATAGGGGCAAGAACTGTAGAGGTGTTGTGGTTCAGTGGATAAGTCCCCAGACTTTGAACCACAAGTTACAGGGTTTGAATCCTTGCCACAACACCAACATCCTTCGGCAAGACGTTAATCTACAATTGCCACGCTCCACCCAGGTTAAGTGGGTACCTGGAAGGATTATTCCTGGAAATGCACTGTGGACTGATATGACAGCGGCCAGAAATAAATAAATATTATTATTATTATAAAAAATATATTTACCTTCTGGGCCCCATCAGACCTTTATTCTACCATATGTAATACATGTTCTAGCTGTCACCCTGTCCTTAATATCCTCTTAAAGTGCCCACAAAAATGTAGATTTGAGCTGCCTCTTCACTTTATATTTAAAGCAGCATATCATTTGATATTGGACAACCATAAATTCTAATTCACTTAAGATCAAATTAGATCTCTGCAAATACCCACTAATACTGTCATACAGGCAATGCATTACTTTGAAAAGCACTAGATCTCTGACAACAGAGTGTATGACAAGTTAAGATTGTTTTGATAAATAACATAGTATGACCAAATATTCAATTAGGAAGAAATATTTTGAATGAGTGTCATTTGGATACATACACTTAAAGAAATATTGATTATTTTGTATTTATATCTCCCCCTTCTCAATGAACACATTTCCAATGTACCTTTCTTTCGCATCCAGCGTTGATTGCCTGTATACAAGTACATCACACCTTCATCTCCAGTTTGAAGCAACCGTGCTGTCACCTGGAGAGAGCAAAGACATCACCTTCACATTCTACCCCAGGGAGGCCATCAGATATCAGGAGGTCATACACTTTGAGCTCAATGGACTCTCTCGCGCTCAGGTATGTAGGGAAGGGCATTTCAGTCCGGAGTAATGCCTAGCTGCCAACCACTCCTATTGCGGAGGAATGATTCCTATTTTTTGGCCTTCAGGCTATTGTTTTGAACCCTAGATTCTTCTCTGTTTCTGAAATATTCTGTGTGAAAAGTATACAAAATAGACTATATTCCTAGTTTTCCCATAAGAGATTCCTAATTTTTGCTATGAAAAAAAGTTGGCAGGTACGGTAATGTAGAGTTAGTAGTTAGCAGGAACAAGTTCAGAGACGCTTCAGAGATTGTTCATTATTTTAGAAAGTTGCTCATCTGTCTGTAGAGGATGGATTATGAATCTATTAGAGGAATTGCACATGCATTATGTACTATATGAATCTAGAATTTTACTGTATTAGTCTTTGATTGGTGGAGCCTTACATGGCCTGCAAATCCCTACCTGGATATCTATCTCAATGAACCACACACATGACGATATATACCCCTCAATGAATCAATATTTAAAAAACAACAAGATTTTCACTTTGGCAAAGTTTTTCGCTTCTCATTTAAATTGCAGGAGAAAATTTGCGATGCTTTTGATTGCTTTCTTGTAGTACGAAGATGACAAGTATGCAAACATTGTCAGCTAGCTGCTAGAGTTAGAACTCTCAATCATAATCCACCAAATGTGTTGGTAGAGTGTCTGACCTGAAAGAAGAAAAGAAAGAAAATAGGAATTTGTGTTCATAATGCAGAATATTTTGAATAGACGACTGATTTCACCCTTTATTCCTAGGTTGAGATCTTTGGACTTGGTACTGAGATGCGTGTGGAGGTGGCCAACTCAAAGGACCGCATCGTCAAATTCGGAGCCATGCGCATTGGCCAAGTCATTAAACGCTCTGTACCTATCATCAACAATAGCCCCGCCCCTCTCTCCTTCAATGTGGCCATCACTCCTCTCAACCCCATCCTGCAACAGGTCCCCACCGTGCTCAAGCTGGCCCCTACTCAGGAGATTAGCCTCAAGGCCAAGGGTGGAGCCTCGCAGCTGGAACTGGTCTTCAGCCCCAAGTGCCGCATCCCACAGTTTACGGAAGAGGTAAGATGATGTAGAAGCTATTTGGTGGAGTAGGGTATTACTTCGACTATTGTTCTCATTTTCATTTTCTTTGCTGTTTCATTGTCACCATCACTTTCTTTATCATAATCATTATCACTATCTCCATCATCATAAACATAATCATCATCATTCGTATTCTTTATGATTAGTTATTTATTTCTCACTTTATAGTTACAATTTATTGTAGTTTTAGTTGATTAGCTTCTTTAGATGTTGTAGTGAAAGTTATGTTTAAAACCTAGCAATAAAAATCGTAATGCAAGGATTTGGTTGTTAAACTAAGTGAATAGCATAAAAGATGTAAGTTTCTATTTGTATGTGATATGTTTGATTGCAACTTTTAGTCTGATATGCCAACAAATTTGCTCCTGCAAAATTTACCCAATAAAGATTCTCCAAGATGAGGTAATTGATAAGACAAGATGAGAAAAAAACAAAAAAGAAGGCAGAACAAAAACAATAACACCATAGAGATAACCTGAGGAGTACTACATTGTTTAATATATTGCTTCTTTGTTTGAACTCATGCCAGGTGATGTTAGAGTGTGCAGGTCTTTCGCAGCCTCTCCTGGTGGTGACTGGGTCATGCCAAGGAATAGAGATCAACCTGGACCAGGAATCTATTCCTTTTGGAGCTGTTGTCCTGAAGAGCAGTACCACACGCAAGCTCCTCATGTACAACACCGGAGATGTTGGTGCTGCGTAAGTCACTGCAGAGTTGTCCCTCCATTGTTTTTGCTCTTCATATTGATATTTTTTGTTTTTGTTTGGTGGAATGATGTATAAAACAGGCAGGAAACAATTTACCTTACATCCTGTAGCAAAACCACAAATTTCACATGACACAGATAGGGAAGCAACCTTCTACTACATAACATCTGTACTTGTGCAAGAAATTTTTTTTTCTTCAGACATGACAAGTTGATATCATTATTTACATCTAGGAAATGACCATTTATGTTGGCCAAAAGAAACACCTGACATTCAAACCAGGTCTTTCAGAGTTGATTTGTAGCCTAAGGGCTTACTTCTGAACCATTTCACTAATATGATTTCACTGAATCTAAATCTTTATTATCAGTGTTGCTGTTATCATGCTTGGTACATATGGCACAGTAAAGATCAAGATATTCTTTGACACTAGTACTTAATGTCTTCATTTAAATCATTTTTTATATTAGGTTCAAGTGGAATGCAGAGAAGTTTGCACCCGATTTTGCCATCAGCCCATCGGAGGGCTACATCTCTCAGGGCATGACTGTGACCTTTGAGGTCAAGTTCCAACCCACTAAGGTCTGCCAAGACATCAGATATGATGTAAGTTCAGTCACCCTCAATCACCTTTGACATTGTGTTATTCATCGCACTGTGCAGTCTCATCTACTGAGAGCCAGAAGGGTGGTAACTTTGTGTAAACCAAAGAGTTACCCCCTCCCCCCCTCCTCCTGACTCTCAGCAGTCACTAGGTTGATTGGTCCTCTCTACAAGTGCAGACACCTGCCCATGATCCTTCTATTGAAAATGGTACTTTCTGTTTTCAGAGCAATTTTGGGCACTCATCTGTGTTATCTAGATCACCAAATTCTTTCATTTGTATTAATAATTTCTTTTTGGATGTGGACATTAAATGATGAAACAAAATCTGCCAGTCCCCCAAAATGGCAGATTTAGTGACAAGAACATTACAAACATTTTTTAAATAGTCTTCTTTTCTTGCATTGAATATTATGGAGTGTTTAAAGTACAGTAGAAGTACGAACATATATATTGATATTTATATAACGCCTTTACATCAATATGCTCAAAGCGCTTTACATTAGTAAATAAATCAGAATAATAACTCTTCTCTCCAAGTGCATACACTGAATTTTTTTTTTGTGTACAGCTGCATGTGTAAAGTTATTCAAAAAGTTGTGCACCACATGAACCAAGCCTGATTCGTACAGTACACAACCTCATGAACTACATTCAACTTGTGTAGGGCATTTGATAGTCCCAATTAGATGGTGTCAGTATAGCAAACACTTTTCCACCCCTCTGTGATCTTCTACACAGAAACTGAACTGCAGCATTGAGGGAGGGCGTCCTCTCAAATTGGTCCTGACCGGCATGTGCGTGGGCTGCCAGCCTCAGAAGGAGATACTGCACTTCAGCACACATGTCCGGGTCAAAGACACACGCAGTCTGACCCTCCACAACCGCACCAACCAACGCTGGGAGCAGCTTAGACCGGTGATCGAGGGGGAACACTGGACCGGTGCGGAGGCCATCACTGTGGAGCCCCAGCATAGCAAGGCCTATGAACTCATCTACAGGCCACTCATCATGACCGCTGAGGGCAAGAAACATACGGTGGGTTTGCGCAGTGTATTAGTTTGGGAATCTGCTTAGGTGTGCTCTTTGCTGATTATTTGCAGAGCATAATTTTAGTAGTTTTTAATTTATTTCTATCTCAAATCTTCAAAACTGACACAAAAATTTAAATTTGAAATAATTTATATGATTTATTTAACAGGAGCCTTAATTGTCTTTCTCTCCCTCTTTCCCCACTCTCTCTTCTGTGCCTTGCTCTCTCCTTGTCTCTTTGTTTCTCGGAAGACATTGTTTTAGAATGATATTTTGTTTGATTCTTCATGAGACTTATTAGTTCAGTCTTTACTTATCTTTTTTATGCCTCCGCCACCGAAGGTGGTGCCGGAGGCATCATGTTTTCGGGTTGTCCGTCCGTACGTCCGTACGTCCGTACGTCCGTCCGTACGTCCGTCCGTCCGTACGTCCGTCCGTCCGTCCCGTTTGACCGTTATCACAATATCTCAAGAACCATTTAAGATTTAAACTTAAGACTCGGGAATAGTATTTATCACCATAGGAAGACGATCTGATTAGATTTTGGAGTACGTAGGTCAAAGGTCACAGGTCACAGAGGTCAACTTATGAAATTCCTTGTATTGAGTTTGTTAGCGCGATATCTCAAGAACCATTTGAGATTTAAACTTCAAACTTAAGGATAGTATGTATCACCATAGGAAGACGATCTGATTAGATTTTGGAGCACGTATGTCAAAGGTCAAGGGTCACAGAGGTCAACTTATGAAATTCCATACATTGAGATTGTTATCATGATATCTCAAGAACCACTGGAGATTTAAACTTCAAACTTAGTGATAGTGTGTATCACTATAGGAAAACAATCTGATTACATTTTGGGTCACGAGGTCAAAGGTCAAAGGTCACAGGGCTCATTATGTATGCAAAAACAGCTTGTGATCGCGTTATCTGAACAACCGATTGATGGATTCCTGCCAAACTTTGGTCATGTAAGTATCTTGCAGAGCTGATGAACTGATTAGATTTTGGGGTCACGAGGTCAAAGGTCAAAGGTCACAGGGCTCATTTTGTATGCAAAAACAGCTTGTGATCGCGTTATCTGAAGAACCGATCGATGGATTCCTGCCAAACTTTGGTCATTTATGTATCTTGCAAAGCCAATGAACTGATTAGATTTTGGGGTCACGAGGTCAAAGGTCACAGCGCACATTGTGTATGCAAAAACAGCTCGTGATCGCCTTATCTCAAGAACCGATTGATGGATTCCTGCCAAACTTAGGTCATGTATGTTACTTGCAGAGCTGATGAACTGATTAGATTTTGGGGTCATGAGGTAAAGGTCAAGGTCATGCGGCTCATTATGTATGCAAAAATAGCTTGTGATCGTATTATCATTAGAACAGATTGATGGATTCCTGCCAAACTTAGATCATTTATGTATCTTGCAGAGCCAATGAATGGTTCATAAGATCAAAGGTCATGGGCTCATTATGTATGCAAAAATAGCTTGTGGACGCATTCTCATTAGAACTGACAGATAGATTACTATTTAACTCAGGAAATCTTGCAGAGCCAATGAACTGAGTAGATTTTAGGGTCATGAGGTCAAAGATCAAAGGGTCATATATGTATATGAGAAATTGCTTGTAATCACGATATTCTGAGAACATGTTAATGGATTACAATTGAACTTGAATTTGAAAAATTTCTTCCGTTTCGGTTTGTAAAATTGCTCTATGACGGAGGCATCATTTTCGACTGCGCGCAGTCGAATTCCATCTAGTTTTTCCTTGTCTTTTACTGTTTCATCAGTACATGAATTTTCCTTTACCTTCTCAAGCAAAATCTCTGACGTTAACCCTAATCAGAAAGCGAGATTATAAAACTTTATACTTTACTTGTTTGTTTTCCACCTACAGGGCAGTGTATTCTTTGCTCTACCCGATGGTTCAGGACTCATGTACAACATGGTAGGTGTCTCTGAAGCACCCAAGGCAGCAGGGAACATCACTAGAGATATCCCCAGCAAGACACACTACACAGAGAGTCTCTCTGTATCCAACTGGCTCAAGCGGCCCCAGAGGTATGTAGACATGTTGTCTGGCAAACTGGTAGCAAGCAGTAGATTTCCCTCATGACTCTATGCTGTTTTTTTTTTTTTTTTTTTGTATTAGTTCTAATGCCCCTTACCTGGCCTTTTTTTTCTTCATGAAGTGAAACATGTGGAGTAGGAGCTCTTAAGTACTCTTTCTTTCTCCACTACGTTCCGTAAGAAAGTTAATTTATATTCTATATCTACCTTAATACAAAATAAATGACAAGTTTGAAACAGGATATTGGTGAACAGATTGGTACGGAGCAGTACTGGCTCTTGACTCTTCTTTATTTTTGTTTACACTTCTTCTTTTTACAAATTCTTCTTTCAATTTGATGGATAATAACACGACGTGTAATGTAAACAGTAAACATGAGACACGTTTGAATATGTACTTTTAAGTGACATTCTTTTTATAAAAAAATAAAAAAACAGGTAGGCTGTATTTAGGCGCCTACGGAAAGCATTACATGCGCACGAAATATATACATCAATTTTGTTAGGTGGAAGCTAATCGTGCGATTTATCTATATATATATTTTTTTTAAAGGATAAACCTAGCGAAAATGGAAAACAAGGCGTCCAGTGCCTAGCTAGTGTTGGACACTAGTTTACGGAGGCCACGAACAACCCCCAATGTATTTGTTATTTTTTGGAGGAAACGTGGTTGCGACCAAGGGAACTGAACGAGGGCGCACTCCCTGTTCCTTGTTTATGAAAAACTGTGCACCTACAAGTATTTTGGATAAGAGTTTTGTAGGTGTCATGTAAACATACATGTAAAATAATGAAATTGTTGGCAATATACTACGAATATAATTGCTAGATAGTCAAATATGAACGATAGTGATTCAAATTCCGAGGCTCTGTGAAGGTATGAGGTCAGACTTGGCGTCGGGTTGTAAATAAACGTTCCTGGCCTTTGTTGACTACCATCGTCCGTGCCTTGAAATCAGAAAAGGTGAGACATAGGCGTTTAAAGCTGCAGTTGCCCCTCCCTTCTTTTCCAAGAATGAAGATATTGCTTGGTGGTTGAAGATGCCTTGGCAGTCATCAGGAGTGAAGGAAGATCATAGACTGCCAAGGCTTGTAATGATGGGTCCTGGAGTGGGGAGGACAGCTTGCTCCATTCTTCTGCCAAATGGAAGATATAAAAAAGAAACAAAACAGCAAATCCGACAAAAATAGCGTGGTCGCATAAAAGGGCGACAACTTTTGACGATCACGATCATGACACAAATAATGACCGGTGTAAATAAATGCTATGCATTTGCTTCTTTAATATGATATACGCGATAGTTTTAAAAAGGGAAGTTATTTTGGGATGGGAGGGTAATAGAGCTCTGACTGCATAACCGAGAATGAGCGTGTAAGCTCGAATCTCGAATAACGAGAATGCATATAACAAAAGATTACGTAATGCAGCTGTTCGCGGAGGTATGCGTTCGATAACGAACATAAATTTCACTTTCTTTCTCCACTACGTTCCGTAAGAAAGTTAATTTATATTCTATATCTACCTTAATACAAAATAAATGACAAGTTTGAAACAGGATATTGGTGAACAGATTGGTACGGAGCAGTACTGGCTCTTGAGAAAATGCCAAAGAAAGTTGGAGAAGGCGGGTAAAGAGTGACACTGATGCTTGTACATTTTTGATGCATTAAATCAATATTGCATACCAAATGATGCATTGAAACGATTTATGCATACCAAATGATGCATTAACATTTTATGCATACCAAATGATGCGTTAAACGATTTTGTGCATGCCAAATGATGCATTTAAATCAATGTTGCATACCAAATGATGCGTTAAAACGATGTTTACATGCCAAATGATGCATGAACAATTTTTGCATGCCAAATGATGCATTGAAAACGACTTTTGCATGCCAAATGATGCATTAAATCAATGTTGCATACCAAATGATGCGTTAAACGATGTTGGAGTTTGCATGAAACAATGAACTAAAACAAAGGTGCATGTCAAATGACGCATTAAACAAAATAGCATACCTAATGATACATTTTAGACACATGTTGAACAGTATCCCATTTCCGTACAACAAAATCCCCGATTATTCTGTCGGGGTGGACGTTTATGGTCGAAACGGAGAGCCAAGGAAAGAAAAGAAGGGTTCTCATTAAAAACGGTTGCGACTCCTAAAGAAGATGCATAGGCAACCATTCGGGATATATTATGACGATATTATGAGTTTGGCACAAATCGAAAATTGCAAGAGCAATGTCATGAAGGTCTGGCTTGACACTCCCGTTCTTGATAATGCGTGGGACATTTTCATTGTCTGTCATCCACTTGAGCTTTTGATTTTGGAAAAGAGAGTGGCCTTCAGAAATTATTCGAAGTACGGCGGCCAGTTCACGCCAAGTAGAACTTTTGAGCGACTCTGCGCGAGTCCACTTTCCGTGGAAACGCGTGTGAGTGTTGTCCTGTACGTAGCCTCCGTAACCGGTATCGCTAGCGTCTGAAAAAACTAGCGCAGATGGGGCTCCAAATTCTTTATAGGTACTGGTCGTGCTGACTGTGTTAAAGAAACAATCGCTTCGATGCTGAGCAGCAATTTGTTGATCTTAGATTGTGGTACAAAAAAAATGCTCTGTTATTGAATCTAGAACGAGACCTAGCTATTGGATTTGATTGGTGGGTTCCCATTTGCATTTTGTCTTGCTGGGGACAAACCCGCTGCGGGTAAGGGTGTCGCGCACTAAGGTCATGCTCGATAGAGCCGAACTGAGGCTGGGGGAAATGACGAGACCGTCGTCGATATAAACGAAGGAAATAATGACGCGGGCGCGCCAGTAATAGACTAATGGTCTAGTTAGATTGGTAAACAAGTAACATGCGCTGTTGAGGCCAAAAGGTAGAACCGTGAACATGTAATATCTAACAATTGAATCATTATGAACCCAGGAGAAGCCTAAGTATTGCTGGTGTGGGGGAAGATATCGACGTGATGATATCCGGATTCTAGGTCGAAAGAGAAATAAAATTGGTTTGGACCGAGTACTTGCGAAATGTGGGGTAAATCTTCATACTTGAATTTAAACTTCTTAACATATTTATTTGGGTGGCGTAGGTCCAGAACCAATCGTAACTTTTTGCCTTCAGTGACTGTTAATGGATTGCAGCATGGCCATTCGACGACGCACTGTCTTTTCAACAAATCGGCAAAGGCCGTCTCAACAAACTCAGAATGATTCAAAACTTGATCTGTTATTCTTGCATAAAACTGAGGGGGAAATATGTCAAAAGGTTACTTATAGACTTCATTGATAAAATCAAGAATAAATGGTGTGGCTTAAGCTCAGACTTCCAAAAATTATAAGATCATTTAAGTCTACCTTTGACTCCTGGTGGTAGCTTCACTCTAAAGGATTCCTTGGGTGACGCCTGGGGGCCCTGGTTGCTGGCGTATTGGCTGTCGACTGGCTCCGATAGCTGGGCAACTGGTACGCACGTGACCGGCGATGCCGCACTGGAAGCAGACACGGTTATCATAGCGGCGCTGAAAGTTTGGTATGAAGGTGGCCGGGAAGCGGCGAAAAGAACCAAGAGGGCGTTGAACAGGGCGAGGGTATGGGCGGGGCCTTCCCCGGGTCGACTTTTCGGCCGCGGATTCCGCTCTTTTTGCAGAAGCGGCTTTCTCCGCCTAGACGAAGAAAGGTGGTTATGAATTAATAAATACGCTCGGATATTTTGTGATACATAATATATAATCGATATCTAATACTGTGTGCAAATGAGAGAAATCGAGATTGGAAAGTATAAGAGACGATAAATACGTGTAATCTTCCGTATAATTTTTTTTTTTTTTTTTTTACTTGAGGGTTTTTGATTATTATTTAGATAGGGTGATAATGTTACAAAACTGCTTTCCGCATAATATACAATCGGTTATAATTAAATTATATAACCGTTATTTCTAAACGGTCATTCATTTCATTGTGAACAAATTATGTAAGTGAATTCGAGGACAATTTAATGGAAAAAATACGTATTACCTTTCCAAGACGCTTCTCATCGCCGGAGTCGTCGGCAAGTTCATCGGCGACATATTCGTTTACGGTTGACCATCCGAGTGGCGACCGATCAGCGATTCTTATCAACTTTTGCCTGTCATTGAGTTCTCGTAGTGCTTCCTTCAGGGTTAGCGCTGTCGTGTCAAAATCCCCCTGCTCGTTTAGGACGATGCCTCTCTCAATCAATTTTTTGACCTTTTTAGAGTGTTCAAACTGTTGTTTGTTCCCTTCGCTCTTGAATGTTGGGATGGGTTTGGGTTGTTGAACCGTCGATGTGCAGGTGTCGACCCGGCGCTGTAAGACGTGGATGGCCGACAGGATTTCTTCGTTCGAGGCGGCGGGAATTTCGTCCATATCGTTATGGGTGTGGCAATTAGCTTGAAGTACTTGTTAGGCCTATAAGAATCGAGAGCTCTGACTGCATAACCGAGAATGAGCGTGTAAGCTCGAATCTCGAATAACGAGAATGCATATAACAAAAGATTACGTAATGCAGCTGTTCGCGGAGGTATGCGTTCGATAACGAACATAAATTTCACTAGCCTTCTTTCATGTGGACTAGCTTTTGCTGCTTTAATAAAATGTTATTTCACTTTGTCTGGATTTGGACAAGTCCTCCGCTGTTCCTTTCTTTTCAGTTACCAGCTAAGAAAGCCAAACTCAGTTTGGAAACAGGATAAAACTTTATGCTTGTGACACTTTTGCCCATTGACACATACAAGTATGAGAAAGTCATTTATAATTTGAAAAGACTGCCATTTTAGATGTCTCTTTACTTGCATTGTCTTTATAGTAGGAGAAAAGTTTTTAAGAAATTTATTATTGAACCATTTCACCATGATACATTTACTTGTGATTTCAGCATTTGGAAATGTGAAGAATTAAACTTTGTTTAAATACTTTTTTGCATATTCTAATTTTGTAGATTCAAGGCCATTATCGAGATGATTAAACCTGATAAACTGGACCCAGCTACCACTCTGAAAGGCTTGGACTACATTGATGTTCCTGGTCTTAGTAAGAGGGACTACAAACTCAACTTCTTCTGCCACAAGGAAGCTTCATATGCTGCTAAGGTAAAATTACAGCCAACCTAGCATAATCTAGATTGAATCAAATCTTGACTAGTCACTGTATGAGTCGTGGGAAATTCTGCAGTTAAATTTTCTAGGAATTGGCATTTTTGCCACTCTTCCTCTGTTTGCAAGTGGTATTAATGATATACATGATTTAATAATTCAGAGATAGCTTTTTTGGAATAAAAGATAATGCTGTGAACAAATAATAGGAAAGGAGTTTGTAAATGCATATTTTATGCTGCAATAGAGACAGCACAGATAAATACAGATGAATGTTACAAGGCATTAAAATGTCCTTTTCTATATACATACACAGTGTGCACCAAAATCACAATACATTCATATTCAATGTAGGTGAACAGTGTAAATAATTCCCCTCAATGAAATTAATATTTCTGTTCCCCCCCCCCCCCCCTGCCCATGACAGATTCTCTTCCGCAATGAGCAGACCAATGAGTTCCAGTTCTACTACATCACCTTCAAGAGTACCCCACCGGGTATCATTGACTTGGTGGAGATGAGTACACCGGTCCGTCTCAGTACCTCTCACACCATCACCCTAGAGAACCCTCTGTCCTTACCCGTCACCTTCCAGACTATCTGTGCCATCAATGATATCATGGTCCCACCGCAGCTTATGGTCCCTCCCCAGTCAGAGGTAAGAGTCCTCGTGAAGGTACCATTCTATGCGTGGTAAAAGATGCATTTAGATACAAGGACAATGGATGTACATTCTAAAGGGGAATAGAAATGCATCCACGGTTGACTGTTCTTTGACTAGGTTTACTACGTATGTTTCAGTTTGTACATTCTCCAAGTTATATACCGTTCTATTTATACATCAAAAATAAAAACTTAACAGAACCATCTGTCTCCAAAGATGCTACCCACACTGGGTGACAGAGCATTCACAGCTGCTGCACCCAAACTGGAATAAACTTAACCAAATTTCTTTGCAAAAAGGAATCTCTCTATACCTTAAAAAAAAAAAAAAAAAAATTCACCTCTTCTTTTAATAATATAATTATACGGCGCATTGTAACATATGTATATAGGGTATATATAAAGAATATGGAAAATGCACTATATAAATAAATTATTAATATTATTATCCCAGGGTGTCCTGAACTTCGAGTACCTTCCTCTCAAAACTGGAGAGGTATCCGGCAAGATGACCCTGGCCAGCAATGAGCTCGGTCAGTACGCCTATGACCTCCAGCTGACTGCCACCGCAGCAGGACCGGAGAAGGCTGTGTTCTTCAGGGCGTCGCTTGGTGGAAACCACACCCAGACCACCAAGTTCACCAACTTTGCCAAAGTGAAGACAGAATATTCCTGCAAGGTGAGTGATTTTTTTCGTTTAATTTTCTTATAAAACCCATTTATTTACCTGTATAAAGCACCTTAAAGCAACAGGTTGTGTTACCCTAATAACAAATTTGTACAACCTATATGCTCCAGCAAATCTTTCACCGTAGGTAATTGCTAACACTTGCTGAATTTCACCCAAGACTAGACACTTTACCCAACCCCAATGGTTAAACCTACCGGTAATTTTAACCCAAGTCTTTATCTTTGATGAAAGAAAGCCTGGAGCATAATTATGTTTCATCAAAAGTAACACATATGAAGGAATAAGCATCTATTTTAAAGGATATGTAATAGATTTTCCCATTTCATTGGTTCATGGATTCTTCAAAGATTAAAATGAGAGTTATTTATCTATTGTAATGATTTCTCTATAGGCTCTAATCTTTTTCTTACATGTATTTGCAAACATTATCGATGGACACTATATTTTTGTGTCGTTTATATTAAAATAGATGAAATTGCTACAGAGAACTTCCATTTCCTTTTCCTCACTACAGATTGACAACAATGACTTCCACTGTGATAAGACCATCACTGCTGCTCCTGGCTCCAGTGGCGGTAGCGAGGTCGGCTTTGACATCACCTTCGAACCCTCCCGTTTGGGCGAGACCCGCGGCACCCTCACCCTTCACTCACCTCTCGGCGGGGAGTACACCTTCCCCCTCTTTGGCACTTGCATCGCCCCCAAGCCCCAGGGACCGTACACCATCAAGGCCGGCTCCACCACCTCCATCCCCTTTAGGAACATCTTCTCCCACACCACAGCGTTCATCTACCAGGTGGACAACCCCTCCTTCAGCTGCAAGCCTGGAGACCAGATCCGGGGCAAGAAGACCCATAACATCATCATCGGCTACGAGGGCAACAATGACGGCACCAAGGCCCCCAAGATGGGCAAGCTGGTGGTGACCTGTGCCAGGTCTGCCGGAGGCGCTGCCAATGTCTCCTGGACATACTATCTCAAAGGCATCACACCCTGAGTATCTATAGTAGAGGGAAGGGTTAGACTGAACCAACCCTGACTTACAATGAACTGTAAAAAAAAATGCAGTGCAGAGGAATAGCTTATGGTGGATAATTCCTTTGTTTATAGAAGTTACAAATGAATTGGTAATCTTTCCAATTATTCTTCATCCTTACTGATGCATCTTGCTTTAATTTTATAAGAGATGCTGTGGCTTTGAAATACAAGTTCCCAATGAACTGTACTACTTTAGGTTCTTTCTCCTGCTCATGGATGCATCAGACTTTAACGTTAGTGTGTTTCATGGATGCTGTCGTGTTCAGTACCTTCAACAAGCCACATAAAAAATGCACCTGCAAATTCTTCATTTTATCACTGCATTATTCATCTTTGTATGCAAGCACTTATTCTATATTTTCTTGTGAGAGAATTGAAATTGACCAATAAGCATGAATTCATTCCATTCAGAACACCTTGAAACAATCTTTCATGAAGACTTTTGTAATTCTAGTTTATTCCTATATGTATATTTATATATTCTCTTGTCAAAATACAGGATTTGAATTTATATATCAAATTGATAAATTATTTGGAGAGATAATTATCTATTGTAAAAGTAAAACATAACTTCTTCTGAATAACTGAAGGTATATTTGATATTCTAATGCTATTTAGGGTTGTACAGAAGAGAAGTAGAATGCAAAGATCTTGTTTTATTCATTTATTGTAAACTGTACATATATACATATTATACAAACATTACATTGCATTTAAATGAGGCCTTGATTTTCATAAAGGTACAGCACAGCATGGATTTCTTTAAAAAATTGTGTTAAAAGTAACTCATGTCACATGATACTTTCAACACAAGGTGCACTTATTATCGTGTTACAGAAGCCTTTCTTTCTTTTCCAATGAAATTGAAAATAAATTAAAGTGAATATAGATGCTTTCACTCTTTGAATGTGTATGAATAGCTATTTTGTCTACATATTGTTTTATGGAAATAAATTCCGTCCTATATTTTGTTGTTGAAATGTGTGAGAATTTCTTCCTTGTTATTGAATAAAATGTGATGATACACAACACACACAAAGAGTTCGCTTTATTTTCGTCCATGTTTGAGAAAATGACTGGTTTTTAAAGATAAGCTTGAGTTCTGGTAATGATAGAAAATAAATTCTAAAAGAATCCAACAAAACTTACACTGATTGTTCAAGATTACAAATAAATGAGACGTGCCAAACGATTTTGGTAGAAAATGTATAAGAGTAATGAGCATAGAAAGATAAGGAAATCAAGGTAAGTAGGCCTGACGCCATGTGCTTAACACAGGTCACTATGTTTGCTGATTTCCAGCAAGTTTTCGTGAGTTTGTTTTTATTTTACTGGTTCAAACAAACGATATCAGAGCTCCAGATTAGCTGGAGTATTAGAATGAAGAGCATAGAAGTAGGGTTCTGCATGTAACATCGAGTGTGGCACATATGTATTCTGTGAATATACATGTATTTTAAATACATGAAGATGGTGAAATGTCTGTCGCACCAGTTCTTGATTCAACTATTGATGAATGCATATCCATATATATTACCCTCTCAAAAATCTCGTACATTTTGCAGTGACAGTTTCGATCCCCGAATACATGTATCCTATGCTTATTCCCAATGGCATAATTTAAGGAAACCGTCCTTTTTATTTACACTAGCCCTTGTAAAAGATAGATTCCTAGACATCTAGCAAGTATTGATGATCTCTGTCAATTTCCTATAAAAGGCTGTACATCAAAGCTATTTTGTCCCATTCGCTACCGACCATATCTAAGATTTCAGTATGTCTGATGACTAGCTAGTGCATATAGCCTTACTCAAGATGAATCTGTTAAAACCTTGAATGAAATATGTTCACAATACCATAATAATTTGTAATACATTGGACACACATTGGAATTTCCCACATATACAAGTGGTACAATACAATAACGAATTTTAGCAATATATTTGAATTTTCATCCCCCCCCCCCTCCCCCCTTAACCCATAGCCTGCCATGAGGCTGCACGCACGCTACCTATTGAGTGCCATGTGCGTGCAAGGGCGCATTCGTAGTAGCAGTTATTGTTCATGCTCATTGGGCTGTGCTGTGTGTTTTGCACTCGCCATTCATAGAACCATCGCGTTAATCAGATTATCTCCAAAACAACCTGGCACAGTGGGGATTAGCCCTGTGGCACGATAAGAGTTAAAGGGAAAGTCTGCCCAGATATTAAATTGCTTTAATACTGACTGATGACTGAATAGATTTGTTTCATACAGGGGTTATATAAAAACATATTTGCAACAATGGTATATAGGGTGAATGTATGATTGAAGGGGGGGGGGGGGGGGGGGGACTCGCAAGATACGTCACAGATTCGCCAATTGTGTTTGATTGATCGCAGCTTCAACAATTAATAATTTATTATCTTGTATTGTTATTTGCTCATACTTTCACTCAACCGTTTATTTTTTTCTGCTTTTATTAAAGCCAATTTGATATCAGAATGGACTTCCCCTTAAAGGTCAAGTTCATGAACTGTCTCTTTCTATCTCTCTCCTGGGTACACACTGACAAACTCAGATCACTGTCTTGCCTCGGGCCGTTCACATCAAAGCTTGGATTCAAACAGGCCAGTCCATGTGGAGCCTCTGGCTGTGTCCACAGGAGAATTACGATGCCTTCAAGCCTTCCGTTTGGAATGTCAGAATCCATGACTTTCCAGTCATGTGCACTGTAAAAGCATTTACAAATTGTGTCCATCAGACTCTGCGACTCTTCCATTCCTCTTTGATAACCCAGCCAACTTTTATAACCGTTGCTGGTTTCTCACAGTAGATAGCAAGTTTATGTTCAGGTTTTAGCTTGAGCCAAATTCAGCTGTTCCAGTTCTCTGAAGGTTGAGCATCTCCTAAATGTTTTCTGCTCACATCATGATAAAATGTGTCTTGCAATGCACTGTAAAGACAATAGAAGATGGAAGATGAAATCTTTTAATAGTCAAATACAAGTAAAAGCATAATTTCTACCCAGTAAATTTGAGAGGGAATAACTAATTGCTGCCCTTCTGATACTTGCCAACTAGAATATTAGTGTCAGAAGTTGCTTACTAAAATGTTAGTGATCAGTTCTAAGTCTTAAATCTTTGGTCCTTCAACCCCCCTAACGTGGCTATCAAAGTTATTTACATTTGCACAAGGGTATATAAAAAAGAAAGATCTTTGCTAAGATAAACTACATCATCCCCTTACAAATCCATTTGAAATATTTATAACAAAGGACATCCTTATTTGTCTAAAGGTCACTTCGCCCTACCAAGGTGCCCATGTTTATATCTATGCTACTTACCGATGAAGTCTGATACAGGATCTTTGCCATCTTCATTGCGTAATGAGTCTGTGATGTCACTGTTCTCTATGACTGGTAGGAAGAGCTGTACAAAGTCTGATGTGTATGGAGGCGCTATCATGTCAAGAACCTAATTGGGAATGCAAGGGGAACAGAAAATATAACATATTGATTTTAAAATGATAATTCTTTCTATTTTTAATTTGTACATTTATTTATTTTTTTGTTGTTGGGGGAGGGGGGGGGGGGGGGGGGGGGGGGGCAGGGGGCATCTATAAATTCCAATTCTACCTAATTGGTAAGAAGATCTGGACAAAGTATGCTGTGTATGGTGGGATGCTGGTGTCCAAGACCTTTTAACAGTATATATAAACAATGAGACAGGGAAAATGGAGCAGTAAGAAGGTTGTTGAGATGGTTCCCTGATTTCCCTTCATTTGTAAATCCTTGTCCGACACTATGGTCACCCATATCCAATATTGGAACCCCAATTTAAAGAAGAAAACAAATTGTCTCTAACCAATGATTATCATATCTCCAATGTGTATCTTTAATAAGTCATGACTTTTTATTTTCCACAAAGTACATCACCCTGTTATTTCAGAATAATCAGCCTCAAATCCTCCAAAAGTCTATGTACATTGCAAAGAGGCTCTATCAGCATGACATGGACTCCTTTCCCTTTCCAGCCACTGAGTCCTAAACTATAAGGTCAAATACATTCCTAGAGATGCAAAGGTTATGGATTCTAGCTAACCCCTCCCCCCCCCCCCCAACACCACCTTGTCTGGTGGGTATAAGTGCTTAACAAGTATCCAATATAATACTTATTTTAAAAATGTTTTTTAAATAATTATTATAGGTTTTCCCGCCCAACTTTGTAAACTTAGCATCCGAATTAACGTTACGTTCATTCAAGTTCGTGCGAAATTGAATGACTATGTAGATCAACATTCAAAAAGCTAATTGCGTCGTTCAATTTGATTTAGTAGCATGCGATTTCATATTCTTGTCACGGAGAAGTGCAAAACGAGCATTCAATTTAGAAAAGCGTGCAAAGAGCATTCAAATTCGCGCCGGACAGACGGTGGTATGTATTCGAGCATTCAATTTCGTGATTAGGCATCCATATGTGACATTTGTGCATTGCTTTTCATTTGATGTTAATTTGTCACTTAATATACTTCTGTTTGAATAATTTAATGCTAAGTTTACTAGTAGGAATGATTATGCGTATTCGTTAGCAGATATATGTCATTACACAGGTAACTGTCCCCAGAGAAGGCGCACAATTTGTGACTTCTCTTCTTCTTCTAAGAACAAGCTATATAATTATACACAGATCCTGGACAGCGGTAGAGTTGAGCTTTAGACATGGCCATGATGGAAACAAAATACAATGATGAATAAAGAAAAATATGTGAAATGAAAGGAAAGAAAGATTACCCACTCAATCCAGATTGATAAAAAAAAAACATTTAAAAAATAACCTCATTTATAATGAAAGATATGAAGACATGACTGTATAAAGAAATGTTCATCAAAAATAAAGATCGACAGAAAGAGAAAATATTGAATGCAATATAAATATATCAGACAAATAAGAAGATTGTATAATGTGAAATCATGTCAGAAAAGATCGTAGAGAAAAATAATAAACAAATGAACATGAAAAAGTGAATATCCGAATAAACATCGAGCCTCGTACAATAATTATGAGGTCTAGTTTTAATTTGAATGACCCGATTGCAAAAGAGGTTGCCCATAGACGAAAATGAAACCGCAATTCGACAAAGAATTGTCCTCCCACTCAACTTTGGCGAAATTGAATGACGCTAACGCATTTCCAAATTGATTGAACCAAACGTTAATTTGAATGTGCTTGTTTCGAAAATTCGGTGACTCGAAACGAAATTGAATGCAAAAAGTTTAAAAATGAAACAGGGAAGCAACGAGTGGAGAAAATTTGCTCGAACATGAATGCACGTTAGTGAAATTGATCGCTGCTTTGACGAAATTGGCCGGGAAAACCTATATTAAAAAATATTAAAAAAACTACCAAAAAACTATTGTACTATTACATATGATTAAAAAAATATCAAAAAAATTGTCGGTGATAATAGTCAAAATTGACAGATTGCCATAAAAACACTAACCAACAACAACAATATCATTATCTATCATTTCTTGTTTACCTACCTCCGTTACAAAATGTCTGATAAGTGAGATATCAGTGTCTTGTTTCTCCACACACTTGGCAATGTACTTGATGACAGGTACAACAAAGCCCCTACTGAGGAGATGAACCATGCGGTCTAAAATTGTCTTTTTCAGTTCCATCTAAAAATTTTTTTTAAAAAGTCACATAATTCTGATATGGTATTTGCAACTTGAATGAAATCACAATGAATAAAATGAAAGAAAGATTTATTCAAACTTCACATGGTAGCTTTAGGGCTGTATTGTACATGTATATTGAAAAGTCATGTTATATCATGTTATATCTTGTGATCTGCGCTATACAAGAATAAAATAATATAATTATTATTGTCATACAATATTTACATTCACAAAATAATACATCTGAATTTTTAAAGTAATACAGCAATTTCGATAATACAACTATAAATGAAAACGTGACATTACAAAAAAATAGAACCATGTTAAAATACTAAAAATGAATAAAGTGATAATACTTTTATGTAATG